GCTACATTGCTGTACGCCGTCGCAGTAGAGAACACTACAAAATAGATCATTGACATTAAAGTTGGAGGTCGCCTCTCTATGACCTCGTTTTGCGGAATTCGCGAGGAATCCTGAACCACTAAGCATTCCGCGCCAGACAATGTCACACTCTCCATTGTCCTCGATCGGCTGGGGTGGACAGTCAGCGAGGCGCATGAGGACGTGCGCATGAGGACGTGTAGTTATTTGAGACGCCGAAATGCATATCCAACCGTCACCTGTCCAAATATCCGTGAAGGCTGCAAGGGCTGCGCCATGATTTGCATGCGTCTCGAGTGATTGGAGCCGCTGGAGCAATTCTTCCAGCTCTTCCCCCCAACTCTCTATAACTTGTTAATTTCGCATTTCTCGTTCTCTTACACGCTCACAGATATTCTACTTGGAGACGCTTATTTTACAATCCTTTCCTCGTTCATTAGTCAAGGAGGGCGGCCCCAAACAAGCTTGCAAGCCAAATGTCAACCCTCGCGGTAAGTGACATCAACCCAGGTGATACCGTAGACTGGAAAGGCCTTAACTAACAGCAGAGTCCCTTTCTCTTTCTCTGCTCTAGCGCGAGAACAAATTAGCCCGAATTCGAGACAACCAGAGGAGATCACGCGCCCGACGGAGAGAGTATGTCCAGGACCTCAAACGGCGACTCAGAGAATACGAGACTCAGGGCATCGAGGCCTCGACCGAGGTCCAGATGGCCGCGAGAAGAGTAGCCGAGGAGAACAAGCAGCTCCAGGAGCTCTTCAACAGGCATGGCATTAGCGACGACCAAATAACCCGTTTCTTGCAGTCGGGCACCTTGCCACTTGATTCCAACCAAGGCCAACCTTTCACGCCGACGACCCTAGTGCCGCTGTCCAGTCGCTACAACGGCTCCTGATGCCGCGACAACTGGCCAGTCTAGATGAAGACTTCTCCCTATATTTGTCGGGACAGTCGATTCCGAACCTCCACCACCGAGGGTCGACGACAAGTTCGTCCGTCTGGGAGCCGTCGCAGCTCGTAACGTCCTCGTACGGCTATCAACATCACATGGGCGTGGCTACTGCAGTCATGGCATCGGCTGTTCATTCTCCGTATCCACCGACAACCCCATTGAGTCGCGCGAGCACCACGCGACAAGGCTGCGTCTATGGCGGGCAACCGTCCCCGTCGATGCACGACAGTCCCCGCCAAGCCCTGGTAACAACACAGCCTACGTCTACTGGCGGCCGTACGGTAATGCACTTGCATTATTCTGTGCCGACTTATCCAAACGCAGTGGTACCGCATTATGATTCCCTAGGAGCACCTGCTGACACGCGTTGACGAGGGCCTGCAGGGGCGTATCGCCGATTCCATTGGTTGTTTTAAATATATATTGAAGATTGGCACTGTTGGCCATGCCCTTACCGATTCACTAAAGCCTTTTGATATCCTTCTGTCTGTGGACCAGGGCAGCCCCGTTAGGGAGGACCTGGAAAAGGGATTCCTGGCCTCTGTAGCAGTAACGCATCAGGACTTCCTGAGTAAGGAAAGCTACCCCTTTATGCGTGGGCACAGCCAACTATGCACGGGTAGAGCCCCATACTCAGGAGGTCTCCAGAACTCCCTAAGGCCTCCTGTATAAATAGCCCCTTCAGACTGCCCCTTTAGAGATAGAACATGCATCTTGAATCTAGCTGTGGTGACCCCCTTATTCCGATGTGTATTGACACAACATTTCACCAACACCGTCATATAAGAGTAGAACAGACTTCCCGATTCCCTGTCGAGCTTCATTGTAGCCCCTGATGTGAGCTCCAGCAAATCATCTCGTGAGTCACAGCAATGCGACTCTAGCCGTCTAGTGGCATGTATCTGCCCGGTTTACTCATGCGCCTTCCTCCTCTGTCGGAACTGTGATCTACTAGTGCTTGGCTGATGCCTGCAAGCCGCCCCTAAGAGAGAATGCCTAGCAATTGGCCTTACTCTTGGCCACCCTTCCATCAGATAATGCTCATCCTTGGCTGGAACACCGTCAGATTCTGCATCTATGCGCCGGTCATCCGACTCATCCCTCTCTAACGTCATCAGCAAGCCAACTACCAAGCAAGAGTAGGGACAGACTTCCAAAGTGATTAGGTGGTCTTAGGTCAGACTAGCCCACAGGATCCCCGTAGTGAGGGTCAGGGGGTGGACCTGAGGCAGGTTCACCCCCTGATCTCTACTCCCTCAGCTTAGTCCGAAGCAGGGCAATACATATTGAAGTAACGGAAAGTGGCGAGGCTTGCAGGGAGGCTGCCTGCGTGGCAGGGGCGGGATGCTCACGTCGGGATTAACAGCTTCAAGGAGCGGGTCAAGTTGGTGAACAGGTGGTTGCACGACGTGATGGTCACATTGCGTCTCCAATCTGCAAGGCATGGTCGGTCGCATCTCGGAGAGGATTCGTAGGAAGGGAAGGTCGGCCCCAGGGTCGTGCCCGGGGAAGCCGGTATGACCAGAGGGCGGTCTGAGGGGCGGTCTCGACTCGGGCTAGAGTCGGCGTAGCTACCCGCTCCGTGGTGTCGTTGGCTGGGATATTTAACGCCGGGGAGAAGGGGGTGTAGGGGGAAAGTTTGCAATGGAGGGGGCGTGGGAGAGGTGCAAGACGATGAGGCCGGATTCTGGCCACTTGATGCACCTCATATTGCCTTGTTGCTCTGGTCTGTAGCATCAGCCAGATATACTGTATCCTGCACGGCTGAATGAAAAGAGACGTGCAAAGAGGCTGGGGAAGGCGAAATTGACAGGGAAGGATGGGTGCGACGGGAACCGCGATGCCCATATCGGCACAACGGGAGTAACAAGTAGTACCTCAATGAGACATGCGATGCATCTGGGACAAGAACTGGGCGTAATGGTTGGAGTTGTTGGTTACCTCCAATCATCCAGCCAGCCCCTGACGACCGTGACGCGCGCACTGCAATACAACCGTGGTTCTCTCCAAGTCAGGGAAGCTTTACCTCGCCAGCTCTGTTCTCATCCACTCGCCATCGATCACAGGCTTCATTTCCCGCCTCCATTATTTCCAAATTTCACTCTACTATGTGCTCTATTTTTTGAGCAAAATATGACAACATGGCACGACCAGGACGGCGACAACAAACCGACGGAAGAAAGCCAAATCGGACGCGGAGCAAATATTCTCGAATTAGGGCTCCCGGGAAGACTACAGGCACCTCTAGATGTGCTGATGGTCTATTCGACGAGGACATGGACGTTCAAGACGGACTTCCGCCTTGCCATGGTCCGAAGTTGCATCCCTCTGCACTCGCCAACGCATCGATCACCTGGAAAGATATGCTCGATGACTACTCAGAACCATATTCGGGCCACTCTGAGATCATGGCACATGTTTTCAAGGTTGAGATCGAGTCTAAGCACTACGCTTTGAAGGTGGTAAGTAGTGGTGAGGAGCTGTGGCAGCTCGAGAGGTTAATTATGCCTTAGTTTATGCCGTACGATATTTCGTATGACTACCACCAATTTTACACTGCGGGTATCCGCTGCACTGAAGAAGAGTTGGAATGGCATGTTATGCCCTTTTACTCAGAATGCCGCGCATACGGTCGAATCAAGCAGGCGCAAGACAGGCGATTACTGCCGCATCAAGTTGCAGTTCCATGCCACGGCTATATCCGCTTGGAGGAAAAAGACATCCGAAAACTGGAGGATGAGTGGAACCTGATTTCAGTGTTGAACAGGACAACGCCCTAAAAACACCAAACCGTCCGATCTATGCCATTGTTGAAGATCTTGCAAGTGCAGGTTCCGGGGTCAGTGTCAAAAGCTTGCCGCGCAACCTACGAGATCTGCGATCTTTACACTCGATGGGGATATTTGTCCGTGATATAAAGGAAGATAACTATAGAGATGGGAAGCTTGTTGATTTCGGAACTGCTTGGACTGAACCGCACGTTATATTGAACCGCTACGATAGGTATATGCATTTTGATGCGGTGGAGGAGAGGGTGGGGGATTTGGCGATGTTTGATGATATTGTTACGGCCAGGCACATACGAGAGCCTTGACGGCTATAAAGATGTATTGGCACTATGAACGAAGACTCAAAGCTAAGGAGCAAGAAAGGAAGACTAGACTACACGACCGAGCGGGCCCTTATATAGACACGAGGTCGCGCGTGGGCACGTGATGCTGCTTGGGCACGTGACACTGGTGAGGTTCTGCTACGGCAGGCTATAGGGGTCACTGTTGCAAACCCCAAAAAGTCACCGCGCGAGAGTCAAAATGGGTTAGTGTCGAGAAGAAGGTCCGAACGAGGAACGAGTGACGAAAGGTTCTCTTGCCCTGCGACCCCCTGCCCCCCCCCCCCCCCCCCCCCTTCGATCGAGTTTTCCCCCCCCGTGCCTTGAGGAACGAAGTGAGGTACGAACGTAGTGCCTTGAGGAACGTTAGTGACGAAAAGGTTCTTCTGGTTCCTCCCCGGGGAGAAAGAAAAAAAAACGCCGCCATCAATTTCCCCCCCCCTAAATGCCGCCCTCTGATTCGTCGGCTGCCGTCCTCTAATTCGTCGGCTTGCTCTCTTCAGATTGGTTTAAAAATACAACCTCACCGCCCTCGTCGCCGCCCCTTTTTGCCCTCTTTCCTTGAAGCCCGTCTTCTTTCCTGGCCCTTTCTTTCAAGCTCGCCCCGGAATACGCCCTTTTCCTCTTTGCCCCCCTCCTGGCCCTTGACCTGTGCTCCTTTTACGTCGGTAGCTACGGCAAGCCCGCTAGCCTAGAGCCGGCTGGCCTGTGAAGTCTAAATCTCCGCCTTTGCGGTCCGTCTATATTAGACACGCACCCGTCGATGTCCATTAACTACCTTGAGATTGTTGCTCTTATTTCTATCTCTACGTTGCGCCTTCCCATAATTTTTGCTTTCTCCGCCCCCTGATTGTGTGCTAGGGTAGTCGTCCTAAGGGCAGGATCTCCTCCGCTGCGAGCGAGACGCCTACGCCGCCCGCGTTACCCGCGGAGCCAGTCGGCCGCCTCCTGCGTCGTCTGCCTGCTAAGCTCCTCTAGCCGGGCCTGCGCTGCCGTCATCTCCTCGGGCACCCGGTTCCCGACTAGATCCCGCTCCCGCACCTCCGATACGAGCATGATGCCGTCGAGCGTCGGGCACCGCGACAGCTGCACGTACAGGCTGTACGGGTCGCACGGCGACGGCACCGCCCTCCCCTCGACCGTCGTCATCCTCGCCCCCCGCAGCTCCAGCGCCACGCGCTCCAGCGTCCCGCCCTGCACCTTGTAGTCGGTGCAGGCGAAGGCCGCCGCGCACGGCAGGCCCCTCCGGCTGACGTCGTTGCGCTGCCACGGCCGCTTCCGCTGCGCCGTGATCTTGACGCCGATGGGCGTCAGCAGGATCGTCCCGGCCGGCATCCCGACGAAGTGGAAGTCCCTCGTCGTCTCCGAAGCCAGCACGATGCCCGCCGGCGGCCCGAAGTGCATCGTCAGCTCGGCCGAGACCCGGTGGCCGGGGAAGGCCCGGTCGGGGATGACGTCTACCGCCGTGTACCCGGCGCCGTTCACTAGCTTCAGCCCCTGGTGCGTGTTCTGGTTCACGACGACCGGCATGCCGGGCACGAAGACGAAGACGGCCGGGACCGGCGTCGCGCTATCGTCGCCCTGGCCCAGCATTAGCAACGCCTCCTCCTCCGTCGGCAGGCCCTCCCTCCACTTGTGCTCGGACAGGAAGACGCGCGCCGCCGTCCGCCGCCGCGCCCGGAACGCGAGCGCCGCCTCTAGGTTGAGGTTCCAGCGGTTCCGGTTGAGCGGCGTGACCACCGTCAGGCCCGTCTCCCACGGGATCCGCCTGCCCGGCCGGTGGCACCTCGAGTTGAGCAGCTCTAGGTCCGACCGGTCCTGCTCCCCCCGGCGGATGCGCCCGAGCAGCCGCCGCAGCTCCGGGTCGCCGGCGGCCCGCATCTGCTCGTCCAGCATGACGACCGTCGTGAACCGCCGCCACAGCGCGTGCGCCTTGTCGTGCTGCCGCCGCTGCTCGGCCGCGAACGCCCCGTCCTCGTCCCACGCCACCGCCGCGCTCGGCAGCAGGATCGACCGCTCCTGCACCGGCCGGAACTGGTGGAAGTCGCCGCAGAAGATCACCACCGGGATGCCGCCGAAGTCTCGCGCCGACCCCCGCAGCCTGCACAGCTGCTCGTTGGCGGCGTGCAGCGTCCGCGCCCCGAGCATGCTGACCTCGTCGATCACCAGCACCTCCTTCTCCTGCCAGTCCATCCGCGACCGGCCGTCGACGAAGCGCTCGCCCTGGCCCGGCAGCCGTACGCCGTCTACGTCCTCGTCGCCCTCCCGCCCGGCCGCCCTGGCCGACCGTAAGGCCGCAGGCCGAGTGTAGTGTGATGCCGTTGATCCGTGCTGCCGCCGTGCCCGACGTCGCCGTCACCAGCAGCCGGCTCGATAGGTCCCTCCGGGCGAGCAGCTCGACGAGCGCCTCGATGACGCGCGACTTGCCGGTGCCGCCCTCGCCGCCGATGAACAGGCAGAGCTGGCCGCCGCCATCGCCGCCTGCGTCGTCGCCCTGCCGGATTCGGTCGAGCTGCCGGATTCGGTCGAGCTGCCGGCATACGATTAGGAGAGCGATGGCCTGCTTCTCGTTGAGCGTTAGCTGCCCGCCACCCCCCGCCGGCGGCGACGAACGAGCTCGACGGGCCGAGCCGCACGCGCATCCCCGCCGCCGTGCCAGCGTCTACGTCGCCGTCGGCCGCCGTTACGTCCATGTCGTCCTCGCCGAAGCCCCCCATCACCCCGCGAAGAGCCGCGCCGCGGTCGGCCCCGACGCCCGCCGCCGCCCCGCCGCCCTGGATGCCCTGGATGGCTCGCTCCCGCTCCCGCGCCGCGCTCCTCTGCTGCGACTTGATGGCCCGCACCTCTTCTTGCCGTGGCAGCGCCGCCCCGAGCTCCGAGCCCGGTAGGTTCACCCGCCTGCCTGCCCTCTCCTCCGCCACTACCGTCGCCGCGAGCTCGGCCGCCGACCCCAGCGCCGACTGCTGGAACCGGCAGAGCTGCTGCGTCATCGCTAGCAGCTCTGTTGACTGCGCCGTGACTTGTCCCGCGCCGGCGGCATTCCGGACGACGTCGATGAGCCGGGCCGCGTCGCCCGCCCCGCCGGCGCGGTACGCCTCCTCGCCCCCTCGGCCGCCCCTGCCTTCGTCGCCGGCCTGCGGCACCGTCGTACCGCCCTCCTCGGCCGTGGCGGCCCACTGCTTGGCGTCGCGCTTCGCGTCCTCCGCCGACCGCCGGAGGAGCTGCACGTTGTCTGCGAGCCGCGCGACCTCGGCGCCAGCGACTCCGCGCCCGCGCCCAGATGTCGTCGATGTCGCCTGCCTCCTCGCCGAGGAAGGACTCCCACGGCACGAATAGGGCCAGGTGCTGTACCGCCGCCCTAGGCGCTGTTAGCCGATGCCCCTAGCCGCGCTGCCTTCCCTTGGGCGCTCCCGTCTTATGGTGCGCACCTTCGGTGGCACGACTCGTCGTCTCCCTCGCTAAACTCCTTGCTGAGGTATCCGTCGAGGCATACGGTCGCCCCGCTACCCGGCCGCCTAAGCGCCTGCACCCAGCCCTTCCCCGACGCCCAGCTCTCCGCGAAGGGTACCTCGCCCCAGCCCGTCCCACCGTCGGCACCGCGGCCGTTTCGCTTTAGCCTTACGAGCGATGCGTAGTCATAAAGGCAGAGGCCCGCAGGAGCTCGCCCCTGTGCCGGTAGGCCCCGACGAGGGGGATCCTCGGGCCGGCCTCCTCGACGACGACCGTCTCGTCCGGCGCGTCGCCCGTCGCCTCCGCGCCGCTCGCCCGTCGGAGGTGCCGCCACCGGCGGAAGACGGCCCAGTAGAGCTGGTTCGCGTTCACGTACGCCCACGCCGAGCTGCTGCTAAATTCTGCCGGGTACCCTAGGAGGTGCGCGATCACCTCGACCTGCGACAGCGGCCGCTCCGTAAATACTCGGTTCGCCGCCTTGAGCAGGAACGTTCTCGTCTTGTTCCCCCTGGGGTCCGCCGCCGTCGCCACCCCTTCGGCCCCGCCCCATCGGCCGGCGTCGCGGTCGGCGCCACTTCCGTTGCCCTCTCCCGTCGGCTCTAGCGCGGGGAGGAACTCGGCCGCGGCGGCCACACGCTTCCACACGGGGTCCTCTACCTTCGTCGCATAGTTGGTAATGTAGTAGATTAGGGCCATGGTCTTGCGCTGCGTCGCGATGAACGAGATGTCGTGGTTGTGCCGTAGCCCTACTGCCATCGCCCGGTTCCACCGGTTCACCATGCTATGCGTCCGCCGGATCTCGAGCACCCCGTCCGCCGTCAGCGCCGTCCTCTCCACCAGCCTCCACGGCGCCTTGAACCGGCAAAGGTCCCCCTTCCGCGCCCCCGCGCCGAGCGAGTATTTTACGCAGGTCGCGCTATGCGTGTGGATCTGCGTCGCGCCGGCGCAGAAGTTGGCCTCCTCGTCGAAGGTGTCCGTGAAGCGCGCGACGTCGTCGAGCCGCGACGATATGTCCGCCGTTGCCGACCGCTCCGCTTGCACGGCGCAGTAACCTTCCGCGTCTAGCTCCTGCCGCCTCGGTTTAGCTCGGGCCCTTCGGCCTGCCTCGGATAGGGGCTTAGGGGTTTGGGGAGGGGTGGGGGCGTCTTAAGGCGGCCGCCTTACCTCGGAGAAGACGCTGTCTACGTAGCGGACGATGCGATCCCGGTACGCCGCCTGCTCCTCCGTATCGGGGCCGGCGAGCGCCTCGCCGAGGCCAGCATTGCCCCAGCCAGAGGAGCCCGTGGATGTGGAGAGCGCCTCGCTCGTTGGTCTCGACCGCGCCGTAGTACGCGCCGACGTGGCCGAACACCGACTCCTCCCCGACTTTGATGTAGTGCTCGAAGAAGAGCGTCATCTCCCGGTGGAAGAAGACGGCCGAGCTCATCGGGTCCGATATGGCCAGCCGCGTCCGCTTATACGCGGTCCCTAGGTCTCGTAGGAAGGCCTCGGCCTCGTCCGGGTCGCGGCCGCGGTGTGCCGCCAGCCGCAACTTTACCAGGTTCGTGATGTCGTTCGGGTTCAGCGTGAACCAGATGGCCGGCACCCCGTGCCTTATGATGAGGGATAGTATCTTCTTCCGCATACTGAGGCGGCTCTCCCTCGACATCGGCTGCCGGTAACCGAACACGGAGAGGGACCGGAGGAGCTCCTTTACCCCGTCGTCGCTAGTCTTGCCCGTGGCCTCGAGCTCGACCCTCGCCGCCTCGAGCCTCTGCGCCGTTAACGACTTTAACAGGCCCTCGACCCTGCGAAGTTCTTCCTCGTGACGCCTAGCATGCTGGCCTGGCGGTTCCTAGACCGTACGCCCATGTTAAAGACGAGGAAGGCGAAGATAGGGTGCGTCGCGAACCGGCCGCCGTGGCGCCGCAGCACGACGTCGGCCCATGCTTGGAGCTTCATGTTCCGCGTCGACATAAGGCCCTCCGCGACCCGCTCCGCCTGCGTGCCCTGGTTCCCGACGCTAGGGCCCGCGCTCTCCCCAGTGGCGTCCTCGTCGGCGAGCCTCGGCCCGCCTAAGCCAAAGGAACAGGGTCGGAAAGGCCTTTGCGAAGAAGGAGGCGTCCGCCGAGTCGGCGAAATCCTCGCCGCGCCGCACCTGTATGTGCGGCTCGACGTCGCCGCCATCGCCCTCCGCCTCTCGGGCCGCAGTCCCTACCCACGTCCTCGGGCCGGCGCGCGCTCCCTCGGGCCCGACGGCACCGCGGGCGAAGCGAATCTTCTCAGCATCGGCCACCTCTGGCGCCCCGTCCAACGGGAACATGCCGGAAGACGTCACCTCGTTGATTACGTCCCCGTCCTCTTCGGGCCTAGCGCCGTCCCCGTCGTCGTCCTCGCACGTGAGCCCGACGTCACGGCTCCCTCGGTGGGGTCCCGCCCCTGCCTCAGCATCGCGAGGACCTCCTCGATCTCGACCGCACCCTCGTCGTCCATGGCCCGCTCCGACGGCGGCACCACCTGCGCCGTCCGCGTCCTCTCCCGCGCCGACGGCTCGCTTCGCTCTAGCCGCTCGCACACCACTGGCGGCACCCCGTGCGGCGGCGCCCCCCAGCTGGCCATCTCCGCCGCGTCGATCTCGACCTCGCCGTAGAGCGGATTGTTCTCCTTGAGCCAGGCTAGCGCCCTCTCCACCGCCGACCGCCTTACCGACAGCAGGCCCGATAGGTCGCGCGGCCCGGGCCTCGGCACCCTGCCACGAGACGTGGATCTCGTCCATGACCCGGAGCAGCGGGTGCGGCAGCACCTTAGCGGCTAGGCCCTGCACGTCGTTTGGGAACACGGTAATGTGGCCCTTGACGTGCCTCGGGTACCTCACGCTCTGCCTCTGACCGCCCGGGATGCTGTACTTCGTCACGAAGCCGTAGCACGAGTTGAGTGAGATGAGCTTCTCCTCGAGCGGCGTGAGGTCCTTCAGCTCGTCGGGGTACGCGTGCTCGCAGCCGAGCCGCCCGTGGAGGTGCATGGCCGGCGACGCCCCCTCGCGCCCGGCCCATCGCGCGCACTCTACGCAGACCGGCACCGGCCTGCCTCCGGGAAGCAGCTTCGGCATCCGAACCGGGACCGCCCGCCCCCGCAACGCTGCTCCGCGACCACCCTCCCACGTCGTCTCCCTCAGCTCCTCCTGGCTCGCTTCCGGTAGCATAGCGTGCAGGTCGCGATCGGCAGCGTGCCTGCGTCGTGGAACGCCCGGTAGAACCTCCGCACCGTCCTCACCTGCCTCTCGCGCGGCACCGGCGCGCACCACGTCTGCTCGTTGGCCAGCCTCTCGCCCGCCTCGAACTCCTCGTCGAGGTGCCGCAGCGCGCTGGCCAGGTCCTCGGCCTGCAGTTCCCTTCGTCTCGGCATCTTTTCACCCACCCTGGCGCGTTTCCGCCCGGCCTGCCCACTACTAAGATGGCGTTTCCTCTTCTGCTCGTCTCTCGCCTGGCGTCTTATCGCCGCTCTACCTGCGTCCGGTTAGCTATCATCGTCGCACGCCTTCACCTCGCTCTACGACCGTACCTGCCGGTGCGCTATCTCTGCCGCTAACAAGCGGCCCGGCTGCGGGGGGAGTTGTGGCGGGGGGCCTCGCCCCTGCTAGCCGGCCGGGACTGGATGGCTCGCGGCACGTGCTGGCTTCCGGCCGAGACTACGGCCGGGCTAGTCCCGCTCGACGGCGGCGAAGGCCCGGCGGCCCTCCATGTCGGCTGGGGCCAGGTATCCTGCGGAGCCCCCTTGCTTCCGGCCGAGGCTGTAGCCAAACCTATCCCGTTCGACGGCAGTGAAGGACCGGCGGCCCTCCATGTCGGCTGGGGCCGAATGTCCCGTGGAGCGTCCGAACTTCTCGTCTGCGGCGGCGAGGCCCGGCGGTCTCCGCCGTCGGCAGAGACCGGATTTCTCTCGGTGCGCGCTGGCCTTTCCTGAGGCCGAGACGGCGCTGGGCCCGCCCAGCGGCAGCCAGTGCCCCGCCGCCCTCGGTGTAGGCGGCAGCCGTTGCCGCCGCACTCGGTGTCGGCTGAGGCTGGATATCCGCGGCGCGACTCGGCCTGCGCTGATCCTCCATTTCCTAGTCCTGGCGGTCTTCCGCCCTCGCCTCGGAGGCGCCTCCCTTGACGCCTCTTCTTGCTCTCTCCGAGAGGCGCCGCGACCGAGTGCCGGCGCTGCTGTGATCGGCCGGATCTCTGGTCCTGTGTACGGCGCTGCTCGGGCTTCTGGCGCCGGGCTTGCCCTGTCACCCGCTCCGGACTGGACCCTCCCGTTAGCTGGCTTCATCGCGACACCGGTCTACCGAGGCCCCCGCGGACCTCTTGTCTTCCTCGCTTGCGCTGCCCTCTCCGGCCCCGCCTACTTGCGGTGCTACTGGGCTCCCGGCGTAAATCCTCGTAAGTGTAAGTGTAATAACGGCGTATAAGTCCTTGCCTCGACCATTCATCCTGCACTTGTCTTGCTGACTGGCACCCTCCTGTGCGTACAGGATCCTCTAGGAAAGTCTATATATCTTACTCGTAGCTCTCTAGTACGTCTACAGGCGTGCCGCTGCTCTTTACATTATACCGGCGCCGCCTTTCTATCGAGCCCGCCCGCTATTGCCCGCCGCCTTCAGCGGCGGGCTCGGCCTCGGCCGGTCCTTACATGTAGGTCGCCAAGACAGCTTCCTCTTGCCTGTGCTTTGCATGGTACACTTTTCCGTCTAGTCATCTAGGTCTTGTCGGTCAAAGCCTCAGTACGCCCCTAGACGCTCGCCTGCTGAATTTTGAACCCATGTCTTACACGTGTTGCGAATAAGCCTGCCTCCTTCTCCTCGAACATAGCTTCGCGCGTCCTGCTTGTCTTAAAACCCTCTACGTCTTACTAGACCGCCTTTCGAGGTTTCCTCTTCTCCTCTTGTCGCATTTTTCTGTATACACATCTTATAGACCTCCTTTATATAGGCTCCTTATCTTAGCCTACCGCTAACGCTACGTTGCGTCTTCGTTTAGTATCCTTTGACTTCTCTTATACACCACGGCCACCAGCCCTTCCCTACTACACTAAACTCTTAAGACGGCATATTGGTAGGGAGCACTCCTGCCCCTATACCTCGCCGCTTCTAGCTTCGCTCCGGCAACGTTGCTCTTCCACCACACGGCCTCGCCATGTCTTCGTCTCCGTCGGCGGACAGCTCTGCCCCGCACCTCCGCAAGCCCTTGCCACTAGCAAGGGCGCGGGCGGCGACATGTCCATGATGTTCTTCGCCCAGCCCGACTGCCCCGCGAGGTTTGCCCACCAAGACGAGCACCGCATCAGGGCCTTAACGCCGAGGCCATCGCCCGAGTCCTCCTGCCGGTGCCCTCGTGGCTGCTAGAGTCGGAGTATGCACCCTCCGGGCCGAGGGCGACGATCTAGGGCCCTCCCTCTTCTTTAGTCTAAACCTCTCCATCTACGGCCAGCCGGTCGTCGATACCGACTGGTCCGAGCAGTGGTTCTTTATGAGCGGCCGCGTTCACCCCTACGCCCTCTCCTGGGAGGTGGAGCGCCGCGACGGCCTCGAGGCCGGCCCGGACGATGCTATTCTCTACACCGTGCCCGCCCTTATCGTCCGCAACCAAGGTTACCAGCCGTGCGCCCCCCTCCCCTTTTCATTGTAATGCGCCTCCTCACCCACCGCCCCGCTGACTTTGCCCCCTAGCGTCCTGCCGCGCTCCTTGGCCTCTAGCGGCCAGTTCCCGTCTACGCCTCCCGTTGTCTCCTTCCATGGCGTCGTAGCCGGGCCCGGCCTCGACCTCCTGCGTCGAGACTTCCTGCCCGGTCTCGGGCCCGACCAGCTCCGCTGCTGCGGCTTCGTCCGGCTCACGACCTACATCGCCCCTGGCCTGCCGGACAGGATTCCATATAAGGGCTACCACCCCTTCGAGGTCTTTGTTATCTTTCCCGTCTACGTTAACCCTTGGGCCGTGCTATGCAAGAAAATCGCTGAAAAGCCTAACTCTTCCTTCCTGCCCGGCGTCCCTTTACCTGCACCGGAAAGGTCGTCGGCCTTCTCGACCACCGCGTTATGCTCTCCCCGGGCTCGGGCGCGATTACGTCTTTATCATCGTCCCGGACAGCTGGACCTTTGTCGATAGGCCTCGGCGGCCGCCGCCGCCGCCTCGGCTTCCCCCTCGCTACGCCCTTTGGGCGTCAGACCCAATCCGCCTCCTCTACCTTCGATTCCGTCCGTGCCGCCTTGTACTCTGTTGCCGCGCCGGCCTCGACCGCGCCGCCCCCTTTCCTCGGCCCCGGCCCCGCCAGCCTCGACCCCGTCACGCCGCCGCCTAAGCGATCGCCCCCGGCCCTGGCCGATACGCCCATGAAGAGGGCGCGCTTCCTGCAGCAGCAGTATTCGCCGCTTTCCTCGTCTTCGAACACCGTCGGCTCCGCCGCCCCCTCCTCCTCTCCTCCGCCGGCCGCTTTTCCGTCTCGACCGGACGGCGCCCCACCCGTTCCCGCTCCGACTGCCAGCCCGGATTCCCCTCTCAACTCTATCGTCGCGAGCACCTCCGACCCGCCCGCACGCCCTCTTCGCTATCGCATGCAGAAATAAGCTACCTACTATAGACCCATCGCTCTCTTAAGCCTCCTACCTTTACTAAAACGAACTGTTCTCCCTCCCGGGGTGCTGCTCCTAACGCAAATTGTCGCTCTAGAATTACTATTACTCTGCACATTACAGCGTTTGTCCCTTTTAAGGACAGCTTTAGCTTCCGAACCCGTTTCTTACGAAAGTGCCTGCCTCTAGACGTTCTCCGTGACTTCATTTGTGTCCTGTGCGTTGCGCTTCGCCCTTCTCTTTCCTTGCCAGCTTGCCGCCGCACCTCTCGGCTGCATTTAGCGGCGACGGGGGGCCTGTAGTTGCGCCTCGGCAAAAGGCGTCTTTGTTGCGGAAGCCGACTCCGCTTCTCGCCTATCGGTCATTGCTCTACATGGAGGATACGGTTTTCTACTATAAAATATTATATGCCGTTCCTTAGTTGTGCAAGCCATAGGGACGACGGTCGTTGAAGTCGGCGGGTTCTACAAAGGCCGTTGCGGCGTTTGAGGCTGGCCGTAAGGCCGCCTCGACGGCGTTGCTTGCTTCCTCCCTAGCTCCTAGCTTGCCTTTGGCTTGCATCCCTTCTTGTGTACCTTCCAGTCCTCCTTTGGTGTTGCCTGCTGCAATACGCGACCGCCAGGCATCGGCTGCACCTCCTCGCCCCGCCATCTCTCCACAAACCCGGCAGACCTTCCTCAGTGCTCTGTGCATCCTGCCCTTGCATTTGCTTTGCGCCCATACTTCCGTCCGCCTGCCCCGCCTCTGCCATCGTGTCCTGCATTTCCTGCCTCGCCCTTATTTCGCATCCTTCTTGGCCGCAGAATGACGACACGACCACGAGCACAAACGGCCTCTCTGCATGTAGGTACGATATCGGGCTCTGTAGAATGTCCTTTGCGACTTCGCCGCAACTCTCGCAGCGCGCCCCTGCTGCCTTCCGACACGCCGCCTCGTGCTCCCGTAGGATCGGCCTTATCCACTGTAGGAACAGTGCGCTGGCTTCGTCGTCCGGCCTCGCCTGGCCTACCTGCGTCACGAGCGTCTTCGGGATGCTATGCTTGTACTTGAGCTCCGTGGCCCCGAATTCGCACCAGAACTCCACGGAAACGTTGCAAGTGGCCATGCTGTAGTTGTTTTCCTAACTGCTCGATCGGTAGCTAGGGTAGACGCTTCTGCTCTCCTATTCGTGCCTTGGTGCCTCTCTTATACTCCCTTCCTCTCTCTTACCCCGCAACCGTTATCATCGCTGTATTTGCCTTCTTGCTTTTTCTCCCTCTTCCCGCTGCGGGATGGTGCCCGAATGGCCGATTTATTTGCCTACCTTCTTGCATGCATTAGTTCCTGGCGCTACCGCCTGCTTGCGTTCTTTGCTCTCGCCCTCTGTCTTCGTCTTGTTTGTCTCAATCCTCAGTCTTCGTTCCTCAAGGCTTTTTGCGCAACCCATGAGGGGTTGCCTTACCTGTGCGAAGGTATGCCTTGAGGAACGAAAGGCCTTTGCCTTGAGGAACGAAAGGACTTCATTAGCGCGCGGGGAAAAAAGGCCCCAGACTGCTTCACCCCCACATGCCTTGAGGAACGAAAAGGCTCTTCTGGACGCGAAAAAAACCCCAAAAACCCCCAAACCTACTTTACCCTCGAAACCCTTGGCTTCTGATTGGAGAACCCATCTTGGCTGCTGATTGGAGAGCTTTTAAATCCCGGCTTCCCTTTGGTCGCTTAATGATTACTTACCCTTTTCGTCCTAGCCCCTTTGTTTCGCCTTCCGGCGCAGTTCGCCCTCTCCGGTCCTGCCAGCGACCTAACCTCGCGACTAGGACTCAGCTCCTCGTGAAACCGGTTTTGGCCTTTTCCGACCAAACCCTCTCCCGCACCCCTGACACGAGCATGGTGCCGTCCAGCGCCCTGCGCCCGGCATCGCGATAGCTACACGTCCAGGCCCGTGCCTTTAGAGTCCAGGGAATCAACGTCTAGCCATCCGAGGCCTCGCGGACAGTCTTGTCGCTCAGCTGGCCCAGCCTCGCTTCTGCGTCTGTCATCTCGTCTGGCACCTTGTTGCCCACCAGGTCCCTCTCCCGCAATTTCGAGACCAGCATAATGCCGTCCAGCGTCGGGCAGCGAGACAGCTGCACGTACAGGCTGTACGGGTCGCACTGCGAGGACACGGCGCGTCCGTCGATGTTTGACGTCCGCGTTCCCCGCAGCTCCAGAGCTACACGCTCGAGCGTCCTGCCCTGCACTTTATAGTCTGTGCACGCGAAGGCTGCCGTACAGGGCAGGCCCTTTCGGCTGACGTCGTTCTGCTGCCACGGCCTCTTTCGCTGGCACTGTATTTTGACCGTCATGGGCGTCAACAGGACCGTGCCTGGCGGCATCCCGACGAAGTGAACGTCGTTCGTCGTCTCCGACTCCAGCATTATCCCCGCCGGCGGCCCGAAATGGACCGTCGTGTCTGCCGTGATACGATGCCCCGGGTACGACTTGTCGAGGACGACCTCCAGCGCCGTGTAGCCGGCGCCGTTCACCAGCTTTAGCCCCTGATGGGTGTTATGGTTCACGACGACCGGCATCCCCGGCACGAACATGAAGACGGCCGGCACCGGGATCGCGCTGTCGTCGCCCTGGTTCAGCATCATGATGGCCTCTTCCTCCGTCGGCAGGGCCTCCTTCCACGTATGATCCGAGATGAAGATGCGCATCACTGACCGCTGCTGGGCCCGGAACGCCAAGCTGGCCTCCATGTTGAGGTTCCACCGGTTCCTGTTCAGCGGCGTCACCACGGTGATGCACGTCTCCCACGGGATCCGCCTGCCTTCCCGGTAGCATCTTGAGTTGAGGAGGTCCAGATCCGAGCGGTCCTGCACGCCCAGTCGAATCCGCCTTAGCAGCCTCTGCAATTCCGGATCTCCGCGGCGCGCACCTGCTCGTCCAGCATGACCGTGGTCGTGAATCTCTTCCACAACGCGTGCGCCTTGTCGTGCTGGTGCCGTGTCTCGGCCTTGAAGGAGCTGTCTACGTCCCACGAGACGGCGGTGCTGGGGAGGAGGATCGAGCGTTCTTGGACGGGGCGGAATTGGTGGAAGTCTCCGCAGAAGAGGACGATCGGAATACCTCCAAAATCCTGGTGCGACCCGCGCAGCCGGCAGAGCTGCTCGTTCACCGCGTGTAGCGTCCGCGCCCCGAGCATGCTCACCTCGTCGATGACGAGCACGTCCTTCTCCTGCCAGTCCATCCGGGATTGCCCGTCGACGAACCGCTCCGCCTGTTTCGGCAGTCGCACCCGTCGAGATCCTTGGCCGCGTTTGCGGCTGCCGCGAGATCTTTCGAGAACCCGCAGGCGGAGTGGATCGTAATGCCGTTGATCCGCGCTGCTGCCGTCCCCGACGTCGCCGTTATCATCAGACGATTCGATTGATCCTGGACGCGAAGAGCTCGACGAGCGCCTCGATGACTCGTGACTTGCCCGTTCCGCCCTCTCCACCGACGAACTGGCACAGCTGGCGTACGTTGCTTTTCTCCCCGCGCCGTATCAGGTCAAGCTGGCGGCATATAATTAGGAAGGCGATCGCCTGCTTCTTGTTTAGCGTGAGCCGCGCTGCCAGGGCCTTGCCCGCCTCGAGGAAGGAGGTTGAGGCACCGAACCGGATCTCCATTCCCGCGCTGGCCCCGCTACTCCTTCCTCGAGCTCCGCTGCCGTCATCTGGACGTCGTCATCCCCGAAACCCGTGAGCACGCCCCGCACCGCCGCGCGGCGACCAGTCACCGGTGCCGTGGACAGGCTTTGTATGCCCCGTATCATCTTCTCCTCTCCTGGATGCGCGGATTTGCTGCGACTTTATGGCCCTAACCTCACTTTGCGGCGGTATGGTGGCTCCGGAGAATGCCCGCCCGGGATGTTGATTCGTCTTGGGCCCCGTTCGGGTAGTATTGTGGCCTGGACCTCGGAAGAAGAGGACAGCGCCGATTGCTGAAATCGGCTGAGCTCCTGCATCATCGCCGTGAGCTCCGGCGAGCCGGCCGTGATTTGGTTCGGCCCGATCGAGCTTCTGACAACGTCGATTAGGCGATTCGTGCCCGCACTGTCGGCCTGGTATCCCGATCCGGGCTCGACACCCACCTCCCCGGTGCCGTCCTCGTCCGGACGTACTGCCGTGGGGTCGCCGTCACCGGACGAGGCCGCCCACTGCCGTGCGTCCCGCTTTGCATCTTCGGCCGACCGTCGCAGCAACTGCACGTTATCGACGAAACATGATATCCTCGGGGCCAGGGCTGCTCGTTGCCGCCCCATATGCAGTTGATGTCGCCCCTTTCTTCGTCTAAGAAAGACTCCCACGGCACGAACAGCGCAAGATGCTGCACAGCCGCTCTTCGCCATGGAAATTAGCCTCTCGACCCGGCGCCTCCGGCCCGTCGACGACAAACGCACCTTCGGTAGCACGACCCTTCGTCGTCTTCGTCGAAATCCTTGCTCAAATACCCGTCGAGGCAGACCGTGGCCTGCTTGCCCGGTCGCCTGAGCACCTGCGCCCAACGGCCTCCCGGAGCCCAGCCGCTCTCGAACGGGACCTCCCCCCAGCCGGCGGGCCCCTCGTCCCTTTCGTTGCGCTTCAGCCTGACCAGCGAAACGTAGTCGTAGAGACACAGCCCTCGAAGGACGTCCCCGATGACGGTATGCCTCGACACGGCAAATCCTCTGGCCTGCTTCTTCGACGAGTATTGACTCGTCCACAGAGCCATCTGCAACGGCTGCGCCGCTTCTCGTCGAAGGTGCGGCCATTGTCGGAAGACTTGCCAGTAGAGCAACGATACGTTCAGGAACGCCCAAGCACTGCCATTCGTCAGTTCAGTCGCGCATCCCAGGAGGTCCGCGACGACCTCGACCTGCGATAACGGCCTCTCCGTAAACACGCGATTCGCCACCTTCATCAGGAACTGCCGTGTCTTATTCTGCCTGCCATCGTCACCGGCACCACTGTCTCCACGAACCTCCGCGCCGTCGGCCATTCCGTCACCTGCCCTGGGAGGCAAGAGATCCGCGGCGGCGGCGACGCGCTTCCATACAGGGTCCTCCACCTTGGTCGCATAGTTTGTGACGTAAAGATGAGGGCCATCGTCTTACGCTGTGTGGCGATGAAAGATATGTCATGGTTGTGGCGAAGCCCACGGCAATGGCCTTGTTCCACCGATTCACCATGCTGTGCGACCTCCGAATCCGCAGCACGCCGTCTCCCGTGAAGGCCGTCTCGTCGACCAGTCCCCACGGCGCCTTGAAACGACATAAATCGCCCTTGCGCCCCCCTTTGCCCAGCGAGTACTTGACGCAGGTCGGGCTGTGGGTATGGATCTGCGTCGCGCCGGCACAGAAGTTCGCTTCCTCGTCGAACGAGGCTGAAAATTGCCGTTCGTCGCCCAGAAATTGCGATATATCTGACGTCACCGATCGCTCGGCCTGCATTGCGCAGAAGCCTTCCTGGTCCAGATCCTGTCTTGTTCGTCAGCTTTCTCGGCTTTGACAGACGGAGGACGCAGGTCAACACGCCGGCCCCGCTCATACCTCGGAAAAGACACTGTCGACGTATCTGACGATGCGTTCTCGGTATGCCGCTTGATCCTCGCCGTCGATATCGGCAAGCATCGAGCTTAGATGCACGTTGCCCTGCAGCCAGAGCAGTCCGTGAACATGGAGCGCTCCACGCTCGTTGGTCTCGACGGCACCGTAATAGTGGCTGATGCGCCCGAACACCGACTCCTCGCCCACTCTCACGTAATGTTCGAAGAACAACGTCATTTCTCGGTGGAAGAATTCGGCCGAGCTTAACGGGTCCGAGATGGCCAGCCGCGCACGTTTGAACGCCTTGTCGAGGCCTTGCAGGAATGCCTCGGCCGCTGCGGGATCACGTGTGCGGTATGCCGCCAGTCTCAGCTTCACCGGGTTCGTGATGTCGTTCGGGTTGAGCGTGAACCAGATTGCAGGCACGCCACGACATAAGATGAGTGACTGGATCTTGCGCCGCATGCTCAGACGGAGCTCCCTCGACATGGGCTGCCGATAGCCGTACAGCGAAAGGCATCTTAGAAGCTCCTTGACGCCATCGTCGGTAGTCTTGCCCGACGTCTCCAGCTCCGCCCTGGCGGCCGCTAACCTATCCGCTGTCAGCGACCGTACGATGCGCTCCACCTCGGCGAAGTTCTTCCGCGTCGCGCTGAGCATGCTGACCCGACGATTCTTCGACCGCACATCCATATTGAAAACGAGAAACGAGAAGATGGTATGCGTCGCGAATCGGCCACCATGGCGCCGCAGCACAATGCCGGCCCAGGTCCGAAGGCTTATGTTCCGAGACGACAGAAGATCTCGCGCCGCCGTCTCTTCTCCAGCAGCCGTACCCGCCAATTGACCGGCCCTCGGGTCCTAAGATGACTTCCTCCGCGAGCCGTGGTCCTCCAAATCCGAACGGCAGTAGGGTGGGAAAGGTCTTGGCGAAGAACGAGGCGTCGAGCGAGTCGGCGAATTCGTCTCCGCGACAAACGTGGATGTATGGCTCGCGGACATCCGTGCCTTCTTGACCCGCCTCCGCCGACCTTATCCATGCCCTCGGCCTTGCGGTCGTTCTCGGCCCCATCGCCACCCACGGCATTGCACGCAAAGCGGAGCTTTCTGCGTCCGACACTTCCGGCGGTCCGTCCAATGCAAACATGCCGGAAGAGGTGATCTCGTTGATCGTTTTGGCTCTGTCATCGGGCTCAGCATCGTCAGTCCCGTCCGCTCCACTCCTCGGATTCTCGACTCCCCTGTCCAATACGTCTTGTCCTTGGAGGAGCTGGGCGAGGACTCCTTCGATCTCCGCCGGACTATCGTCGTCCATGGCCCGCTCTGCGGGCGGCACGACCTGCGCCGTTCGCGTCTTCTCCCACGCAGACGGCTCGTTCCGCTCCATGCGGTCGTAGACCACCCGCGGCACACCGTGTGATGGTGTTCCCAGCTATCCATTTCCGCCCTATCAATCTCAATATCGGCGTAATGGGGTTATTCTTCTTCAACCAGATAAGCGCTCTCGACGACTTGACGCCTCACCGACAAGAGACCCGATAAGTCGCACGGTGCTGGCTTCTCCGCGCCCTGCCACGAGACGTGGATCTCGTCCATTGTTTGCCAGAGCGGGTGCGGGAGCACCTTCTCGCCAGCTCCTGCACGTTGTTTGAAACACCGTGATGTGGCCCTTGACATGTCTCGGATACCTCACTGCCTGCGTCTGCCCGCCCGGAATGTTATACCTCGTCACAAAGCCGTAACACGAGTTCAACGAGATGAGCTTCTCTTCGACCGGCGTCAGCCCCTTCAGCTCGTCGGGGAACATGTGCTCGCATCCGAGGCGACTGTGAAGGTGGACCGCCGACGACAGGCTCCCGCGCCCCAAGCATCGGGCACACTCCACACAAACCGAGACGGGCTCACCCCCGGGAAAGCAGCTTCGGCACGCAAATGGTGAGCGCTCACCCCGAGGAACGGGACTTGATAGCCACTGATCCCACGGAATCTCCTCAACTCCTTCCTTGTACGCTTGCGGTAACACAGCCTGCAGGTCATTATCGGCAAGGTGCTCACATCGTGGAACGCCCGATAAAACTTTCGCACCGTCGATACCTTCCTCTCATGCGGTATTGGTGTGCACCAGGTTTGCTCCTTAGACAGCCTTTCCTTCGCGACGAATTCCCTTCGAGGTAAAGCAAGACACTGGCCAAATCCTCTGCCTGCAGCTCACTCCTCCTCTGCCTCGGATGGCTTCCTCGAGTACGTTTCGTCGGGGTCTGGTCTCGGTCACGCTGGCGGTTCCTCTTTCTCTGTTCTACGGCCTGCGAGGATCTTTCCGCTGCCTCGTCTCGCCACGGCCGATCTTGTTCTCCCGCCGCCGCCTGGCGTGATGGCCGTGGTGGCAACCATCCGGATGACTGCGTATCTCCTGCCCTGCCTTGCATCTCTCTGGGTTGGGTTGGCTGAACGAGGGCTCCTGACGACTCCAGACGACATCGTGACAGCGGTTGCCGGCCAATCCTGTCCCGCCTGGCATCCGGATGACTGTATATCTCCCGCTCTATCTTCTATTGCTCTAGGTTGGATTGGCCGAATGAGGCGCTCCTGACGGCTGTAGACGAAATCCCGACACTGTTTGCCGGCCGACCCTGTCCTTTCTGGCGTGATGGCGGCGGTGGCCACCGTCCGGATGACTGCGTATCTCCTGCGCCATCATCCATCTCTTGAGGTCGGATTGGCCGAACCAGAAGCTCCTGACGACTCTAGGCGAGTTCCCGACAGGGCTTGCCGGCCGATCCTGTCCTCCTGGGCGGCGGGTGTCCTCGGAGCCCATTGGCCCTGTCCGCGCACCACGGCTTCGCCTTCCAGACGTGCCCTCTGACGCCCTCCACGAGCCCTCCTTCGAGGAGGAACTATCGACGTTAGTCGTCCTTTCGCGGCCAGCCGCCTCGCCGACTTCCTTGGGCAACGCTCTTTGAGTGCCTCTGCCTGCTCTCTTCGTGAGGCATCGTCGGCCGCCGCGGCCGGCTTGGCCTCAATAGGCCGGAACCTGGGTGCCGCGTTTCCTTGACTTTTGTGGCCCGACGCCCGCTTCGGCCCTTCGTCCATTGCGATCGGTCTCGCCGCCGCGATACTCCTCGTCGCAGCAGCGGCCGCTGCTGCTGTCCCCGTTTCGCACTCTCCTGCCACCGATCTTACCTCGCGGCTACGATTCTCCCCCATGCTGGTGCTGTCTTATCGGCAAGGCTCCGCAAACGAACGATAGATTAGGAAGCCTTCGCCCGGGATATACCCGAGATTGTCTCGCTTCCTGGCAATGGCGTTCCGCCGCGTTGGCATTCTTCTTGCTAACGGTTATATCCTTCCTTGTTAATATCCCCTTTCTGCATTAGACCTCTCTCTCTCGGACCTGCCGGGCTTCCTTTGTACCTATCGACAGGCCTATCTGCCGACAGCCCTAGTTTTCGCCATCCTATGCCGGTAGCCCTGCCGGACACTTTAATCCGCGTCGCCCTTGCTGCCCGATCAGTACCCAGCTCCGCAACACCACGACGCATCTCTTTGACGTCTGCTTACTTACAGCGGCAAGGCTCCTCGCTCTTCCCGGCGAATCCATACCACTATTGATCTACTATAAGTGCGTCTACGCTCGACTTCTTCCCTACTCCTTTCTTGACGCTGAGAACCCGTCCTTTAGTGCGTGCAAGTGGCCTATCGACCTGCGCAGATGCACTATGTCTTCCTCTCTACTTCGTACCGATATGCCCGCACCGCACCTTCGAAAGCCGCTCGATAGCCAAAGGGGCGCTGGCGGTGAGATGTCTATGATGTCTTTTGTCCAGCCGGACTGTCCTGCTAGATTTTCCCACCAGGACGACCACCGCATCAGGGGTCTTAACGCCGAGGCCATGGCCCGCGTCTTCCTGCCTCCTCCCGCCTGGCTGCTCGCGACGGAATATGCGCCCCTCCGATCGGATGCCGATGATTCCCGACATCCGTCTTTTTAGCCTCAACCTCTCCATCTACGGCCAGCCTATTGATCCCTCCGACTGGACCGAAGAGTGGTTTTTCATGCATGCCCGCGTCCACCCCTACGCGCTCGCATGGGAGGTTGAGCAACGCGACGGCCTCGAGTCTGACACGGGCCGCACCTTCTCTATACGATGCCCGCCCTTGTCGTCCGCGATCAGGGCTACCAGCCGTAAGCCGTGCCCTGACCCTTCGCGAGTGCCGACGAAACGGTATATGGCTAAGATGGGCTTGAAGTGTTCTCCTAGGCTCTTTGCCTCCATGGGCGACTTCCTGCATCCCGCCTATTGTTTCCTTTACCGGCCTTATCGTCGGCACCGGCCACTCCTCGCTGCGGCGGGACCTACTGCCCGGTCCAGGCGCCGCCCAACTTAACTGTTGCGGATTTGTCCGCCTTTCTACCTATGTCGCTCCTGGGATGCCTAATAAGGTCCCCTTCAAGGGCTTCCACCCGTTCCAGGTCTTCGTTATCTTCCCTGTTCGCGCTAACCCTGGGCCATCTTGTGTAGGAAGATGGCCGAGAGGCAGGACTCTCAATTTCAGCCTAACGTCCCTTTACCTGCACAGGCAAGGTCGCTGGCCTGCTCCGTCATGATGTCATGCTCTACCCCCCGGGCTCGGACCGGGACAACGTCTTTATCGTCGTCCCGGATTCCTGGACTTTTCTCGACAAGGCCGCCGCCGCCGTCACCACGATGGCACCGCTTTCTCTACGCCACAGAGGCAACAAGCTTCCTCCGCTTCCGCGGCCTTCCGGGACGTGCGCGCTGCCTCTTTGTCTTTGATCACCCCTGGCACCCTCCCGCTCAGTCCTCCACCCTTGGCTTCGGCTTCGCCCTCGACCGGCCACCTTACGCCGCCCGGGAAACGATATTGCCCTGAGCCTGCCGATACGCCGACGAAGCGACCGTGTCTGCTGCATAAGGCCCCGGTGATCTCGTCTTCCCTAAGCCCGCCTCCTCTGCTACCCACTCGTTCTCTGTTTCGGCTGCCTCCGCCGCTCATGAGCCGGACAACCTAAGCCGGGTCCTGACTTACGGACTCTTCCTCGATTCCATTGTCGCCCATGGCTTGGGCTCGCCGGCCCGTCCGCTTCGAAACCGCCACCTATCTAAGAAAGCTACGGAAATGGAATAGCGTACGCTGCTATAACTCCTTAAATGGGAAGTGTTTTTCGTCCAGCCTGGCTGCCCCTTGGTCGTCGTTACCTTTCTGCCTCTGTACATCTGTCTGCCCCTTGTCTAGACGTTTTTTTCGTTCCTCAAGGCTCTTTGCGCAACCCTGTTGGGTTGCCTCTCCCGTCCTCCGCCTCTGATTGGCTGATTTATTTCCTCTTTCGGAATAAAAGATCCCGTGTGATTGGTCGCCGACCCTTCCGTCCCTCCCTCATCATTGGTCGCTGCCGCCTTCTCTTGCCCCTCTCATGCCTTGCCCTGTTTCCCCCGTTTATACTCCTGTTTACCCCTTGCCAATGCCAATGCCAACCTTTTTCCTTTCGTCCGCCGGTTTTCTTATTGTGTCTAAAACTTGCGTCTTTTGTCTTTGCCCTTTCGTTCATGCCTTTCTAGCGGGTTCTTCCTTCAAGTCTAAAAGTCGCCCTCGTTGATCGCTGCTGCCCAGTGCCCTTGTCTTCTTGCCCGCCGGCGCTCCTCCGTCTTCTCCCCTCGTCACCTCACCCTGACAACTCTCCTTGACTCTTCAGCGTCGCCATCCGACCGACGCAAAGCTTCCTCGACAGTCCTCTCGCTTAGCACCTCCAGCCTGGCCTGCGCGGCGGTCATCTCTTCGGGGACTCGGTTGCCCACCAAGTCTCTCCCGCACCTTGGACACGAGCGTGATGCCGTCTAGCGTTCGACAGCGCGATAGCTGCACATATAAGCTGTACGGGTCGCATTGCGAGGGCACGGCCCTTCCATCGACTTTCGTCGTCCGTGTCCCCGCAGCTCCAGGGCCACGCGCTCTGGCGTTCTGCCCTGCACCTTGTAGTCCGTGCAGGCGAAGGCTGCTGCGCACGGCAATCCCTTCCGGCTGACGTCGTTCTGCTGCCACGGCCGCTTTCGTTGGCAGTGTATCCTGACGCTCATCGGCGTTAACAAGATCGTGCCCGGCGGCATCCCGACGAAGTGGAGGTCCTTTGTCGTCGCCGATTCCAGTAATATCCCCGCCGGCGGCCCGAAGTGGATCGTCATGTCGGACGAGATTCGATGCCCTGGGGACGCCTTGTCGACAATGACCTCCACCGCCGAGTAGCCGGCGCCGTTCACCAGCTTCAGCCCCTGATGGGTGTTGTGGTTCACGACGACCGGCATCCCGGCCACGAACATGAAGACGGCCGGCACGGGGATCGCGCTATCGTCGCCTTGATTGAGTACCATGATCGCTTCTTCCTCGGTCGGCAGGCCCTCCTTCCACTTGTGCTCGGAGATGAAGATGCGCATCGTCGACCGCTGCTGGACCCGGAACGCCAAGCTTGCCTCCATGTTTAGGTTCCACCGATTCCTGTTCAGCGGCGTCACCACGGTGATGCCAGTCTCCCAAGGGATCCGCCTGCCCTCGCGGTAGCACCTGAGTTGAGGAGGTCCAGATCCGTGCGGTCCTGCACACCCTGCCGGATCCGCTTCAGCAGCCCCTGCAATTCCGGATCACCGGCGGCGCGCATTTGCTCGTTCAACATGACGACCGTCGTGAATCTCTTCCACAGCGCGTGCGCTTTGTCGTGCTGGTGCCGCTGCTCGGCCTTGAACGAGTTGTCTACGTCCCACGAGATGGCCGCGCTCGGCAGGACGATCGACCTCTCTTGGACCGGCCGGAACTGCTGAAAGTCTCCGCAGAAGAGGACGATGGGGATCCCCGAAATCTTTCTGCGATCCGCGAAGCCGACAAAGTCGCTCGTTTATGGCGTGCAGCGTCCGCGCCGAGCATGCTCACCTCGTCGATGACAAGCACGTCCTTCTCCTGCCAGTCCATCCGAGACTGGCCGTGGATGAACCGCTCCGCCCGTTTTGTCAGCCGCACCCCGTCAAGGTCCTTCGCGTGTTCGCGCCGCCCGCCCTTGGTCTTTAGTGAACCCGCAGGCGGTGGATCGTGATGCCGTTGATCTGCGCCGCGGCAGTCCCTGACGTCGCCGTGATCAGCAGACGATTCGAAAGGCTCTTCCCACTGAACAGCTCGACGAGTGCCCCAATGATCCGCGACTTGCCGGTGCCCCCTCGCCGCCGACGAACTGGCAGAGCTGGCCGGCATCGCCCTATTCGTTTGTCGCATCAAATCGAGCTGGCGGCATATTATTAGGAAAGCGATCGACTGCCTCTTGTTCAGCGTTAGCCGTGTTGACAACTCCTTGCCCGCCGCGAAGAAGGAGGTCGATGGGCCAAGCTGGACGCGCATTCCCGCTTCTGCGTCGCTAGCCGTCTCGTCGGAGTCGGCTGTCGTCATTTCGACGTCGTCCTCCCGAAGCCGGTCATCACCCTCCGCAACGCAGCTCGGCGATCGCTTTCCCGGACTGCGACTGTGGTTTGTACGCCTTGGATCATTCTCTCCCTTCCTCGACGCACTTATCTGCTGCGACTTGATAGCCTTGACCTGATCCTGCGGCGGTAGTGCGGCCCCGGAAAATACCCGCCCTGGCATGCTTATGCACCTCAACCCTTGTTCGGGAATCGCGATGGCCTCGAGCTCGGCCGTTGAGCAGAGCGCCGATTGCTGGAATCGACAGAGCTGCCGCATCATTGCCATGAGCTCCGGCGACTTGGCCGTCACCTGATTCGTGCCCACTGCGCCTCGGACGACGTCGATCAGGCGCGTTGCGTCTCCGATGTTGTTGGACCGATACGTCGCTGCAAATTCTGCGCCCGCCTCGCCTGTCTCGCCCTCCTCGACGTGGGCGACCGTGGAATCGCCATCGCCGGATGAGGCCGCCCATTGCTTGGCGTCGCGCTTTGCGTCTTCGGCTGATCGTCGAAGCAGCTGCACGTTGTCGACGAGACATGATATTCTCGGGGCCAGCGCCTCGCGCCCGCTCCCAGATGCTATTGATCTCACCTGTTTCTTCGCACAGAAAGGACTCCCACGGCACAAATAGCGCAAGATGCTGCACGGCTGCCCTTTGGGGAGGGGGAGGTTAGCCACTCTGATGATGCCTGCCGGCAGGGCGGTTGCTATACACACCTCCGGTGGCACGACTCCTCGTCGTCGTTGTGGCCGAAGTCCTTGCTCAGGTAGCCATCGAGGCAGACGGTAGCATGCTTGCCCGGCCGCCTGAGCACCTGGACCCAGCGTCTCCTGGCGCCCATCCATCCTCGAAGGGCACCTCCCCAGGCCGCACAGCTCTCATCCTTACTGGTGCGTTTTAGTCTAACGACCGATATGTAGTCGTATAAGCATAGCCCTCGCAGGAGATCTCCCGGTGCTGGTACGCCTCAACGTGGGAGATCCTCAGGCCTGCTTCTTCGACAACGACCGACTCATCCAGAGTATCATCTATGGCCGCCGCGCCACTTGCTCGTCGGAGATACGGCCACCGTCGAAAGACTTCCCAGTACAGCAGAGATGTGTTCAGGTACGCCCAGGCGCTGCTGTTGGTGAACTCGGCCGGATATCCAAGAAGATGAGCGACGACCTCGACCTGAGATAGCGGACGCTCCGTGAACACACGATTCGCCACCCTCATCAAGAACTGTCGCGTCCTGTTTCCCTTGGCGGCGTCATCGCCAACAGCACCTCCACCGTCGTCCTGTCCTCCGTTGGCCGTGCCGTCACCCGTTGAGGCGGCCAGGAGATCGGCCGCGGCCGCCACACGCTTCCACACCGGGTCCTCCACCTTCGTCGCGTAGTTCGTGACATAATACATAAGGGCCATGGTCTTGCGCTGCGTCGCAATGAAGGAAATGTCGTGGTTGTGCCGGAGCCCAACAGCGATAGCCTTGTTCCATCGATTGACCATGCTGTGAGTCCTCCGGATCTGCAACACCCCGTCTGCCGTGATGGCGGTCTTGTCGACCAACCTCCATGGAGACTTAAACCGGCATAGATTCCCTTCCGCGCTCCTTTGCCCAAGGAATACTTGACACAGGTCGGGCTATGCGTGTGAACCTGTGTAGCGCCGGCACAGAAGTTGGCCTCCTCGTCAAATGCGGCCGAAAACTGCTCGGTGTTGTCCAGCAGGGAGGAAATATCGGACGTCACAGATCGCTCCGCTTGCACGGCGCAGAACCCTTCCTGATCCAGATCCTATCTTGCACGTCAGCCTGGCCCCGTTTGTCCATCGGACGAGCAATTCAGGTTCTCAGTGACACGTCTTAGCTATTCTTACCTCGGAGAAGACACTATCGACGTATCGTATGATTCGCTCGCGATACGCCGCCTGATCCTCCCCGTGGATGTCGGCAAGCATCGAGCTGAGATGCGCGTTTCCGTGCAACCAGAGCAAGCCGTGAACATGAAGCGCCCTCGTTCGTTGGTCTCCACAGCGCCATAGTACTTGCCGATGCGCCCGAATACCGACTCTTCTCCGACCTTCACGTAATGATCGAAGAACAGCTTCATCTCCCGGTGGAAGAATACGGCGGCGCTCATCGGATCGGACATGGCCAGCCTTGTCCGCTTGTACGCACTCCCAAGGCCTTCTAGGAACTCCTCGGCCGCGCCGGGATCGCGTGTCCGATATGCCGCCAGTCGCAGCTTCACCGGGTTCGTAATGTCGTTTGGGTTGATGGTGAACCAGATGGCCGGAACGCCGTAGCCAACGATGAGCGACTGGATTTTCCGCCGCATATTGAGCCGAACCTCTCGACATGGGTTGCCGGTGGCCGTACAGCGAGAGGCTCCTGAGAAGCTCCTTCACGCCCTCATCGGTCGTCTTGCCCGAGCTCTCCAACTCGACCTCGCCGCCGCTAACCTTTGCGCGGTCATCGAGCGGGCAACGCGCTCGACCTTGCCGAAGTCCTTCCTCGCCACACTCAGCATGCTGACGCGGCGGTTCCTCGACCGCACCCCCATGTTGAAGACGAGAAATGCAAATATGTGGTGCAACGCAAACCGGCCACCATGGCGCCGGAGCACGATGTCGGCCCAAATCCGGAGGTTCAAGCTTCGGGAGGATACGATGTCTCCCGCTGCCGCCCCTGCCTCAGCAGCTCTACCGGTGCCTCGCAAGTTGGTAAGGGCCTTCCCGCCTCGGCTATGGCCTCTTCGGCCAGCCTTGGTCCCCAACGCCAAATGGGAACAGGGTCGGGAACGTTCTGGCGAAGAAGGACGTCTCAAAGGAGTCGGCAAACTCATCCCCCCGCGAGACTCGAATGTATGGCTCACTGCCATCGTCGCCACGCCCTCGACCCCACCGAGGATCCGACCCACGTTCCGGGCCCGCGCGGCCGTCGTCGGCACCTGCGCCAACAGCGTCACAGGCAAACCGCAGCTTCTCGACATCCGCCACGTCTGGCGGTCCGTCCAGCCCAAACATGCCGGAAGACGTCACCTCGTTGATTGGTCGAACGTTCTGATCGGGGCTAGCACCAACTCCATCACGACCCGCGCCTTCTTCGTTGGGCCCGTGCCCTTCAGCCTCGCCTCCCGTTTCCTGCCTTTGGTTGAGCAGAGCGAAGAGTTCCTCGATCTCCACCGACCCCTCGTCGTCCATGGCGCGCTCCGTGGGCGGCACAACGTGCGCCGTCCGCGTTTTCTCCCATGCGGACGGCTCGTTCCGCTCCATGCGATCATACACCAAGGCCGGCACCCCGTCTATCGGGTCTCCCCAACTCTCCATCTCCGCCACGTCGATCTCGATCTCGGCGTAGTGGGGGTTGCTCCTCTTCAGCCAAACAAGAGCCCTCTCGACGACCCGCCGCCTCACCGACAAGAGACTCGACAGGTCGCTCGGTGCCGGCTTCTCCACGCCCTGCCACGAAACGTGGATCTCGTCCAGTGCTTGCAAAAGGGGGTGCGGGAGCACCTTGGTCGCCAGCTCCTGCACGTTGTTGGGAAACACTGTGATGTGGCCCTTGACGTGCCTCGGATACCTCACGGCCTGCCTCTGCCCGCCCGGAATGCTATATCTCGTGACAAACCCATAGCAGGAGTTGAGCGAGACGAGCTTCTCTTCGACCAGCGTGAGTCCCTTGAGCTCGTCAGGGAACATGTGCTCACAGCCAAGGCGAGTGTGAAGATGGACCGCCGGCGACAGACTCCCGCGCGCCAGGCATCGGGCACACTCCGCACACACCGACACGGGCTCGCCTTCGGAAAGCAGCTCCGGCATGAAAATGGTGAGCGGCCGCCCTCTGGCACGCAGCTTGACAGCCATTGATCCCATCTGATCTCCTCAGCTCTTTCTCGTACGCTTGCGGTAGCACATCATGCAGGTCCGTATCGGCAACGTGCTCGCATCGTGGAACGCCTGATAAAAATCCCGCACCGTCGACACCTTCCTGTCGTGCGGTATTGGCGTACACCACGTCTGATCGTTAGACAGCCTCTCCTTCATGGCGAAGTCTTCCTCCAAAAAACGCAGCACACTCGCCAGGTCTTCGGCCCGCAGCTCCCGACTCCTCTGCCTTCCGATTCCACTCCGAATCTGTTTTCTCGGGCGCTCGTCCGGACCAGGAAGACGTTTTTTCTCCCGCCTCCGGGCCGCCTCCGGGGCCGCCTCCGATCCATGATTTCTTCTCTCCGTGGCTGATTCGCTTCTTCGCAAGCCGTCGGATGCGGCAGCTTTGGCGACGACTGCCCGACTACGTGCGCATCCCTGACACGCCATCCGGCCCTTTGCACTGGACAGGCACCGGGCCGTGCTGGCGAACGTTTTCCACGCCGAACCTTGACCTCAGTCCTTGCCCTTTCCAGCACTCTCCTCGTTCTTGCTGCCGATCAAACTGCACGGGCCCCAGCCGCCACCCGCGATGAGCCGCCCACCTCCCTTTGCTGCAGCCTCCGCCCGCTCAGCGAAGCGTCCGCTGGCTCTGCCGCGGCGTCGCCCACCCCACAGGAGACGGCCCCGGATGCTGCGCCGTACCTGCTGCGTTGGAGACACCCCTGCGGCCTGGTACTCCTTTACCCGCCAACTCCGTCCCCGACGGCGCTTGGGCAAACCAGACGCAATCGCTGCTGCTAATTGCCCGTTTTCTTGTTGTCGAATACCGGTTCCCTAGGCTGGATGGATCGAAGCTTCGGTACCTCCTTCGAATGAACACTCGGGACATCGCCCGCCGCCGCCGTAACACGTTGCTCCTCATCTTCAGGATCTCCTCCTGAGGCAGAAAGTGCCGATGAGGAGCGGACGATCAGAGTCCGCTACCCCATATCTCCACGTTCCCTAGGCAACAGGGGCCTCGGAAGCTGACCCGGTGACTGATGTTGCGCGGAACTTCCGCTGCTAACCATATTATGGAACTTCCGTGCTCTGTTTGACCGCAAACCGCCTCGCGGCGGTCTTCTCGGCAACGACCTCGCAATTGCTTCTGCGTGCTGTCTCCATGCGGTGTCTTCAACCACAGGTTTCCTAGGCTGAATCGGCCGGAACGTTGATGCCGCATTCGCCCGTGATTCGTATCTTCGTAACCGTCCCAGGCTCTCCCCGTGCTCTGCGGCCCTCTCAGAAGCTGCCACCACATCTACACCGGCTCCTGTCGCACCATCTCCGAGCCCCGAACCCGACCCGCTCACGTTCTCACCTCTTCTCCATCCCCGACTGACAACGAACAGGCTTCAGGGTGAGCAACCGCCTCGCTTAACTTCACTGCAGGACTGTCCGCCATGCTGCTGCCTCCTCGACGTCGACTGCCGTAAATTGGCAACAGGCTATAAAGCTTTGGCTCCGGAGCACCTCCACTTGGACAGTCTCGCTTGTTGACGACGCTACTTCTCCCGAATGGAAGCTCCTAGCCATCACTTCCTCATGGCCGTGGCGTTTCTTTCCTTATAGCTTCCCTATAAAATGCTTCCCTATGGTACCGAGGCGATGCAATACTACCCTCTATATTCCCCGTTACCATGCCTATCTATGTGCGTCCACCGTCCCGGCCTCGCCTGGTCTCCACGTGCGACCTGCTACCCCGGCTTTGCCAAAGCGACCCTTCCATCGCCGTGCTCTCTTTGCGCACTCCAGCGAATCCTGGCCACTGCCGACCTCCGGCACATGGAGATGGCCGCGACAACCGCCTGCCGCACACTTCAAACCATACTCTTCAGCCCTTCCAACACCATCCTACCAACCTTGCGCATCAGTTCACCATCAATACCCGCCAATCCGCCTCGTCGAGCAACAGCCACAAGGCTGCCGGCGATAACATGTCCATGACGTCCTCATGCAGCCGGACTACCCTTCTAGATTTGCTCCTCGCCAGCACCAATGTCGCATCAACGGCCTTAATGCTAAAGCGATAGCCAGGACCCCTGCCTGTCCTCTTGTAGTCGCTAGCCACCGGAGTCTCGACTTGCAAACCCTCTTGGAAAGTTCTCGTGACCAACTCGCATCCTCCTCCTCAGGTCGACCCATATATCCGACTTCACCGTGTCCCAATAGTAGACTCGACACGGTCGGCACCCGCCTCGCTCAGCCGCACGCAATGCCCATCCAACTACCGACGACCGTCAAAAAGGGAGTCCTGCAATACTACCATAACCTCTTTCTTTCCTTCACTCTCATTCGTTATTGCCCCCTTTGCTATCTACTCCATGCAACGATGACACCGAAGGGGACTACTGGACTTTCTTTCTCCGCAGTCTTACCCACACTAACCTTACCGTTCGCCGACCTCCAACTTCTCGCAACATAGCCATCACCCCTACTCAACTTCCAACCCCCGGCTCCCTACTTCACTCACGACCACAGAACCAGATGGTCGAGACTGCTCGAGAACCTCGCCAGCTCATTCCCGCATACCCCCGCTTCTGATCTATCACCTAGGTAGCATTCACTGACTCTCAAGTCTCCCCGACCCGAGCCACGAGCCCTCTTTCGAGCAGCAAGAAAACCTGCTTTATAGGATGCCTACCTCTACTCTGCCTAACCCTCCTTTACACTTCCACGGTGACCACATCTGCCATGTTCTCACGATGTCGGCCTCCCAGCTCAACGTCGATACCTCGTCCTCCCCGCGGCAACCTCTTGACAGCCAGAAAATGCTGGCGCCGACATGTCCATGATGGCCTTTGTCCAGCCCGGCTGCCCGTCTAGGTTCGCCTACCAGAATGAGCATCGTGTCAAAGGGCTCAACGCAGAAACCCTAGCGAGGGTCTTCCTTCCAACGCCCTCATGGCTGTCGACTCCAGAGTATGCAGCAATCCGGTCAGATCCTGACAATCCATCGACCTGCATCTTCTTGAGCCTTAATATTTCCATATACAACCAACAGATAATCCTCGGAATGGACCGAGCAGTGGTTCTTTATGGTCGGCCGTGTTCATCCCTTTGCCCTGACGTGGGAAATCGAGCGACGTGATAGCTTCGAGTCGGAGGATGACAACATTACAGAATACACCATCCCGGCTCTCATCGTCCGCGACCACAGCTACCAGCCGTAGGTGTATGCTCCAGACCTCCGTCACCACTACCATCTCTGACGATGGCCACAGAGTCATCCTCGCACCTCGGCTCGGCGGATGCCTTCCCAGCGATACAACCCATTGTCTCCTTCACGGGACCTGTCATCGGTTCCGGCCGCGACCTTCTGCATGGAAACTCGGCTGCGGCCCTTGACGACACCCAGCTGAGCTGTTGCGGCTTTGTCCAGCTCTCGACCTTTATCTGTCCTGGGATTCCGGGCAAAACACCCTTCAAGGGCTTTCATCCCTTTCAACTTTTCGTCATCTTCCCCATTCACGCCAATCCTTGACCTCCTATGCAAGAAGATGACCGAGAGGCGCGATAGCCAGTTCCAGCCGAACGCTCTCCTCACCTGCACGGGCAAAATCGCCGGCTTACTCGATCACCAGATCATGACACATGCCCCGGCCTTCGAGCAAGACTATATCTTCATCGTCGTCCCCGATACATGGACTTTCCTTGACAGGGCCATGTCCAACCAGGCTTCTGCGACACAGCTACTGCCGACGACACCCAAGGGCTCAGTCGGCAACCCTCGGACTATAGCGATGCGTTGGCCAGGTTTACCTCTACCAAAAACGCAATGCCGCCCCAAGCGGCGCCTCCCACGCCGCCTGCATCTAGGTCAGTCGATCCCTTATGATGACATCAAAGCGGTCATTGCCCGATCCCGACCAAACCCCAACCAAGAGACCGCGACTTTCTCCAGAAATTTCCACCATAGTCGCCGCCTGTGATAGTCGAGGCCCCGCCAAATCCGACACTTCCTCCCTTCTGTCCCACGAAGACCCGGAGACTCAGAGACGGACACCGAGCCAGTCAATCACCCAGCCACATCCGCCTCTGGCCCTATCAGACCTCCGGCGTCAATCTCTTCCCGACCGCACCGCGCCCGACATCCGCCCAAGAATATTCTGTAAAGCAACGAACGAAACAACACAACATGACAAGGAACATGTTTCATCATCCTCAAACTCAAGTGCGAAAGGCCCTAATGGGATATTTCCTTCTCCTCTTGCTCTCCTTTTCACAAAGACAATCCAGTCAAAACTTCTCCAATATACTCCTTATTCTGTTTATATCCACCACTTATAGCACCTGTAAATCCTCAGAGCCTTCCACTCGCCCACACATGCATTACCCACCCACAACTCTCTTCACCCCTGCCGCCTCTCCACGCCCTTTGCGCCTTTGCAAAGCAAAATCTCCCTTGCAGCGGCCTAGGCTGCCTCTCTGACGCTCTGTCTCGATTTCACTCACGATAATGCTCTACGTCTCTCGCCGGATCTCCATCTCATATCTCATATCTCACTCTTCTTCCTGTCTTCCTCTCACTTCCCCTGTCTCCTATCTCCTGTCGCCAACTCTCTCCTCTCCCCGACTTTCTCCTGTCGCCATCGCCAACTTTCGTTCCGAAAGGCCTCTTTGCGCGAGCCGCGGCTGGCGAGCCTTCCCCTCGTCTACCCGTAAGATACATTGATTCAGCCCGAAGGGCGTTTGCCTTGAGGAACGAAAGGCCTTCTAACGTGCCCCGCAGACCCCGCCCTCTCCCCCCAAAGGTTCTCCGCCCCTTGATTGGTCCCTTGTGATTGGTCCCTCCTTGCCTCCCTCCTCGTTGGTCGCTGCCCTTCCCCCGGCTTCTGTTGCCTTTTCGCGTGCCTTATCCCACCACTAGGCGCCTCCCACCCTGTCTGCCGCCTGCCGACTCTTCCCGCCTGCCGAACTCTTCATCGCGTCACCTAGCCCGGCCGCCTTGACTCTTCAGCATCACCGTCCAGCCAGCGCAACGCCTCCTCAACGGTCCTCTCGCTCAGTACCTCGAGCCTGGCCTGTGCGGCAGTCATCTCCTCGGGGACCCGGTTGCCCACCAAGTCTCTGTCCCGCACCTTGGACACGAGCATGATGCCGTCTAGAGTTCGGCAGCGCGATAGCTGCACGTACAGGCCGTACGGGTCGCACTGCGAGGGCACCACCGTTCCATCCATCTTCGTCGTCCGTGTCCTCGCAGCTCGAGGGCCACGCGCTCCAGCGTTTTGCCCTGCACCTTGTAGTCCGTGCACGCGAACGCTGCTGCGCACGGCAAACCCTTTCGGCTGACGTCGTTGCGTTGCCACGGCCTTTTTCGCTGGCACTGTATCTTAACGGTCATGGGTGTCAACAAGATCGTGCCCGGCGGCATCCCGACGAAGTGGAGATATCTCGTCGTCTCCGATTCGAGAATGATCCCGCCGGCGGCCCGAAGTGGATCGTCATATCGGCCGAGATCCGATGCCCCGGTACGCCTTGTCGACAATGACCTCCACCGCCGAGTAGCTCGCGCCGTTCACTAGCTTCAGCCCCTGGTGGGTGTTGTGGTTCACGACGATGGGCATCCCGGCCACGAACATGAAGACGGCCGGCACCGGGATCGCGCTATCGTCGCCCTGGTTGAGTATCATGATCGCCTCTTCCTCCGTCGGCAGCTCCTCCTTCCACTTGTGCTCGGAGATGAAAATGCGCATCGTCGACCGCTGCTGGACCCGGAACGCCAGGCTCGCCTCCATGTTCAGGTTCCACCGATTCCTATTGAGCGGCGTCACCACGGTGATGCCCGTCTCCCAAGGGATCCGCCTTCCTCCCGGTAGCACCTTGAGTTGAGGAGGTTTAGATCCGTCCGATCCTGCACGCCTAGACGGATCCGCTTCAGCAGCCTCTGCAGCTCCGGGTCGCCGGCGGCGCGCATCTGCTCGTCCAGCATGACGACCGTCGTGAACCTCTTCCACAGTGCGTGCGCTTTGTCGTGCTGGTGACGCTGCTCGGCCTTGAACGAGTTGTCTACGTCCCACGAGATGGCCGCGCTAGGCAGGACGATCGACCTCTCTTGGACCGGCCGGAACTGCTGAAAATCTCCGCAGAAGAGGACGATGGGGATCCCCCCGAAATCTTGCCGCGATCCGCGAAGCCGGCGAAGCCGCTCGTTCACGGCGTGCAGCGTCCGCGCCCCGAGCATGCTCACCTCGTCGATGACGAGCACATCCTTCTCCTGCCAATCCATTCGAGACTGGCCGTGGATGAACCGCTCCGCCTGTTTCGGCAGCCGCACCCCGTCAAGGTCTTTGACCATGTTCGCGCCCCCGCCCTTGGTCTTTAGTGAACCCGCAGGCGGAGTGGATCGTGATGCCGTTGATCCGCGCCGCCGCAGTCCCCGACGTCGCCGTGATCAGCAGACGATTCGAAAGGCTCTTTTACTGAACAGCTCGACGAGTGCCTCGATGATTCGCGACTTGCCGGTACCGCCCTCGCCACCGACGAACTGGCGCAGCTGGCAGGCATCGCCCCGTCGGTCTGCTGCATCAAATCGAGCTGGCGGCATATTATCAGAAAAGCGATGGACTGCCTCTTGTTCAGCGTCAGCCGTGTTGCCAACACCTTGCCCGCCGCGAGGAAGGAGGTTGATGGGCCAAACTGAACGTCCATTCCCGCCCCTGCGTCGATAGCGGTCTCGTCGGAGTCGGCCATCGTCATTTCGACCTCGTCCTCCCGAAACAGGTCATCACCCTTCGCAACGCTGCGCGGCGATCGCTTTCCCAGGCGGCGGGCGTGCTTTGTATCCCTTGGATCATCCTCTCCTCTCCTTCGAGGCACTTACCTGCTGCGACTTGATAGCCTTGACCTGATCCTGCGGCGGTAGTGCGGCCCCGGAAAATACCCGCCCTGGCATGCTTAACCGCCTCCCCTCGTTCAATCAGCGCCGTGGCCTCGAGCTCGGCCGTCGAGCGCAGCGCCGATTGCTGAAACCGACAGAGCTGCTGTATCATTGCCATGAGCTCCGGCGACTTGGCCGTCACCTGATTCGCTCCCACTGCACCTCGGACGACGTCGATGAGCCGCGTTGCGTCTCCGATGCTGTTGGGCTGATATGTCGCTGCAGACTCCGCGCCCGCCTCGCCTGCTCCACCCTCCTCGACGTGTGCGACCGTCGGGTCGCCATCGCCGGACGAGGCTGCCCATTGCTTGGCGTCGCGTTTTGCGTCTTCGGCGGATCGTCGAAGCAGCTGCACGTTGTCGACGAGACATGATATTCTCGGGGCCATAGCGTCTCGAGCCCGCGCCCAGATGCTGTTGATCTCACCTGTTCCTTCGCCCAGGAAGGACTCCACGGCACGAACAGCGCAAGATGCTGCACGGCTGCCCTTCAGGGGGTGGGTTAGCCTCTCCGATAATGCCCGCTGACAGAGCAGTTGCCATACACACCTCCGGTAGCACGACTCGTCATCGTAGGTGAAGTCCTTGCTCAGGTAGCCGTCGAGGCAGACGGTAGCGTGCTTGCCCGGCCGCCTGAGCACCTGAACCCAGCGTCGTCCCGGCGCCCATCCATCCTCGAAAGACATCTCCCAAGCCGCCCAGCTCTCGTCGTTGCCGATGCGTTTCAGTCTGACGATCGATATGTAGTCATACAGGCATAGGCCTTTCAGCAGCTCTCCCGGTGCTGGTACGCCTCGACGTGGGAGATTCTCAGGCCTTCTTCTTCGACGACGACCGACTCATCCAAGACGCCATCCATAGCCGCAGCGCCACTGGCTTCTCGGAGATGCCGCCATCGCCGAAAGACTTCCAGTACAGCAGAGAACAGTTCAGGTACGCCCACGCGCTGCTGTCGGTGAACTCGGCCGGATATCCGAGAAGGTGAGCGACGACCTCGACCTGTGATAGCGGACGCTCCGTGAACACGCGGTTCGCCACTCTCATCAGGAACTGTCGCGTCCTGTTCCCTTGACAGGGTCATCGGTGGCAGCGTCTCCGCCACCGTCCCGCCCTCCGTTGGCCGTGCCATCACCTGTTGAGGCGGCCAGGAGCTCGGCCGCGGCCGCCACACGCTTCCACACCGGGTCCTCCACCTTGGTCGCGTAGTTCGTGACATAATAGATGAGGGCCATTGTCTTGCGCTGCGTCGCAATGAAGGAAATATCATGGTTGTGCCGGAGCCCGACAGCAATAGCCTCGTTCCATCGATTGACCATGCTGTGTGTCCTCCGGATCTGCAGCACCCCGTCTGCCGTGAGGGCGGTCTTGTCGACTAACCTCCATGGCGCCTTGAACCGGCAGAGGTCCTTTCCGCCCTCCTTTGCCCAAGGAATACTTCACACAGGTCGGGCTATGCGTGTGCACCTGCGTCGCGCCGGCACAGAAGTTGGCCTCCTCGATAAACGCGGCCGAGAACTGCGCGGCGTTGTCCAGCAGCGAACCAATACCGCCCGTCACAGATCGCTCCGCTTGCACGGCGCAAAACTTTCCTGGTCCAGATCCTGCCTTGCACGTCAACCCGGCCCCACTTGGCCATCAGAAGAGTACTTCAGGCTCCCGGTGGCACATCTTAGGTAGGCATTCTTACCTCTGAGAAGACGCTATCGATGTATCGGACGATTCGCTCGCGATACGCCGCCTGATCCTCCCCGTGGATGTCGGCAAGCATCGAGCTGAGATGCGCGTTCCCGTGCAGCCAGAGCAAGCCGTGAACATGAAGCGCCCTCGTTCGTTCGTCTCCACGGCGCCATAGTACTTGCCGATGCGCCCGAATACCGACTCTTCACCGACCTTCACGTAATGATCGAAGAACAGCTTCATCTCGCGGTGGAAGAACACGGCCGAGCTCATGGGATCCGATATCGCCAGCCGTGCCCGCTTATACGCATCCCCAAGGCCTTCTAAGAACTCCTCGGCCGCGTCGGGATCGCGTGTGCGGTATGCCGCCAGTCGCAGCTTCACCGGGTTCGTAATGTCGTTCGGGTTGATGGTGAACCAGATGGCCGGCACGCCATATCCGACGATGAGCGACTGGATTTTCCGCCGCATATTGAGACGGACCCTCTCGACATGGGCTGCCGGTGGCCGTAAAGCGAGAGGCTCCTGAGAAGCTCCTTCACGTCACCATCGGTCGTCTTACCCGAGCTCTCCAACTCGACCCTCGCCGCCGCTAGCCTTTCTGTGGTCATCGAACGCACGATGCGCTCTACCTTGCGGAAGTTCTTCTCCCCACACTCAACATGCTGACCCGGCGGTTCCTCGACCGCACCCCCATGTTGAAGACGAGAAATGCGAAGATGTGGTGCAGTGCAAATCGACCACCATGGCGCCGGAGCACGATCTCGGCCCACGCCTGAAGGTTCAAGCTTCGAGACGATACGGGTCTCCGCGGCCGCCTCTGCCTCGACAGCCCTGCCTCGCAAGTTGGCCGTGACCTTCCCCGCGTCGACCATGGTCTCTTCAACCAGCCTTGGTCCCCCAACGCCAAATGGGAACAGGGTCGGGAACGTCCTGGCAAAGAAGGACGCCTCAAAGGAATCGGTAAACTCACCCCCGCGAAACCCGGATGTATGGCTCACAACCACCGTCGCCACGCCCCGAACCCCGGCTAGGGACCCGACCCACGCTCTCGGCCCGCACGGCCGTCGTCGGCACCTTCACCAACAGCGTCACAGGCAAACTGCAGCTTCTCCACGTCCGCGACGTCTGGCGGTCCGTCGAGCGCGAACATGCCAGAAGACGTCACCTCGTTGATCGCTGGAACGTTCTGGTCGGGGCAGGCGTCACTTCCATCGCGAACCGCGCCTTCTCCGTTGGGCCCGTGACCTTCACCCTGGCCGCCGGCTTCTTGTCCTTGGTTGAGCAGGGCGAAGAGCTCCTCGATCTCCACCGGCCCTCCTCGTCCATGGCGCGTTCCGTGGGCGGCACAACGTGCGCCGTCCGCGCTTTCCCACCCAGACGGCTCGTTCCGCTCCATACGATCGCACACCGACGACGGTACCCCGTGTATCGAGTCTCCCAGCTCTCCATCTCCGCCGCGTCGATCTCGATCTCGGCGTAGTGGGGTTGTTCCGCTTCAGCCAGACAAGGGCCCTCTCGACCACCCGCCGCCTCACCGACAAGAGACTCGACAGGTCGCTCGGTGCCGGCTTCTCCGCGCCCTGCCACGAGATGTGGATCTCGTCCAGTGCTTGCAAAAGGGGTGGGAGCACTTTGGTGGCCAGCTCCTGCACATTGTTCGGAAACACTGTGATGTGGCCCCTGACATGCCTCGGATACTTCACGCTCTGCCTCTGCCCGCCCGGAATGCTATATCTCGTGACAAACCCGTAACATGAGTTCAGCGAGATGAGCTTCTCTTCGACCGGCGTCAGTCCCTTGAGCTCATCGGGGAACATGTGCTCGCAGCCAAGGCGACTGTGAAGGTGGATCGCCGGCGACAGGCTCCTGCGCGCCAGGCATCGGCCACACTCGGCGCACACCGACACGGACTCGCCCTCGGGAAAGCAACCCCGGCATGAAAATGGTGAGTGGCCGCCCTTTGGTACGCGCACTTGACAGCCACTGATCCCACATAATCTCCCTTAACTCTCCGCCCGTACACTTGCCGTAGCACAGCATGCAGGTCCGTATCGGCAACGTGCTCGCATCATGAAACGCCTGATAGAAATCTCGCACCGTCGACACCTTCCTCTCGAGCGGTATTGGCGTGCACCACGTCTGATCGTTAGACAATCTCTCCTTCAAGGCAAAGTCTTCCTCCAAAAAGCGCAGCACACTCGCCAGGTCTTCGGCCTGCAGCTCCCGTCTCCTATGCCTTCCGATTCCACTTCGGACCTGTTTTATCGCGCGCCCATCCCGGCTAGGAAGACGGGCTCTCTTCTCCCGCCTCCGGGACTGCCTCTGTCCGCGCAGCGAGCCGTCCGCTGCCTCTGCTGCGCCATCGTCCACACCCACCTGTGCCCTTGGCCGCCGAACCGGTCCCCGACGGAGCTTGGGCAAACCCCGTGCAATCGATGCTGCAAATTGCGCCGTTCGTCTTAGGTCTTGGAAAGTCGTATCCTTGGGCTGGATAGGTCGGACCGTCGGTCCTTTTCGAACGAACACCCGGGACACCGCCGGTCGCCGCCTTATCTCCCTGCCCGTCACCTTCAGGACCCCTCTCCTGGGGCAAAAACGGCCGATGAAGGGGTGGACTGTTAGAGCCCACTGCCCCCTGGTCTCCACGTTCTGTAGGCAACACGAACCTCGGAAGCGGACTCGGTGACTGACGTTGCGCGGAATTTCCGCTGCTGACCAAATTACGGGACTTCCGTGCTCTGCTTGACCGCAAACCGCCTCGCGGCGGTCTTCTCGGCAGTGACTTTGCGATCGCCTCTGCATGCTTTCTCCATGCGGTTTCTTCGACCGCAGACTGCTTAGGCTGAATCAGCCGGAACGTTAATGCTTCATTCGCCACTGATCTGTATCTCCCGAACCGCCCCAACCTTGTCTCCCGTGCTCCGTGCCCTTCTCGGAGTTGCCCTGTATCATCTCCGCACCCCGAAACAGGCACTCCCCCGTTCCTACCCTCTTCTCCATCCTCGACTGACAACGAACAGGCTCCACGGTGAGCGGCCGCCTCGCCTAGCTTCCCTGCAGGACTGTCCGCCATGCTACTGCCTCCTCGACGTCGACTAGCGTGGATTGGCAACAAGCTAGAAAGTTTTGGCCGGAGCACTTCCACTTGGATAATCTCGCTTCTTGGCGTACACTATTTCTTTCCGAGTGGGAAGCTTCCTAACGATCACTACTCTCATGGCCGTGGCGTTTCTTCCTTATAATGCTTGCCTATGGTACCGAAGCGATGCAATACTACTACCCTTTGTAATCCCCATTTACCCTCCCTATGTGCGTCCACCGTCCCGGCCCTCGGCTGGTCTCCACGTGCGACCTGCTACCCCAGCTTTGCCAAAGGCGGCCCTTCCATCGCCGTGCTCTCTTTGCGCACTCCAGCGAATCCTGGCTACTGCCGACCTCCGGCACATGGGGTGGCCGCGCCAACCGCCCGCCGCACACTTCCAACCATACTCTCCGGCCCTTCCAACGCCGTCCCACCCACCTTGCGCATCAGTTGCTCCATCAATATCTGCCACTCCACCTCGTCGAGCAACAGCCAAAAGGCTGCCGGCGATAACATGTCCACGGTGTCCTCGTGCAACCGGACTACCCGGCTAGGTTTGCTCCTCGCCACCACCAACGTCGCATCAACGGCCTTCATGCTAAAGCGACAGCCAGGATCCCCCTGCCTGTCCTCTTGTAGTCGCTAGCCACCGGAGTTTCGACTTGCAAACCCTCCTGGAGAGTTCTCGTGACCAACTCGCATCCTCCTCCTCAGGTCGTCCCCTATATCCGACTTCACCGTGTCCCAATAGTGGACTCGACACGGTCGGCACCCGCCTCGCTCAGCCGCACGCAATGCCCATCCAACTACCGACGACCGTCAAAGGGACCCCTGCAATACTACCATAACCTCTTTCTTTCCTTCACTCTCATTCGTTATTGTCGCCTTTGCTATCTACTCCATGCAACGATGACACCGAAGGGTACTGCTGGACTTTCTTTCTCCGCAGACTTACCCACACTAACCTTACTGTTCGCCGACCTCCAACTTCTCGCGACATAGTCATCACCCCTACTCAACTTCCAACCCCGGCTCCTACTTCACTCACGACCATAGAACCAGATGGTCGAGACTGTTCAAGAACCTCGCCAGCTCATTCCCGCATACCCCCGCTTCTGATCTATCACCTAGGTAGCATTCTCTGACTCTTAAGTCTCCCCGACCCTAGCCGCGAGCCCTCTTTCGAGCAGCAAGAAAACCTGCTTTATAGGATGCCCACCTCCACTCTGCGTAACCCCTCATTTACACTTCCACGGTGACTACATCTGCCATGTTCTCACGATGTCGGCCTCCCAGCTCAACGTCGATACCTCGTCCTCCCCGCGGCAACCTCTTGACAGCCAGAAAAATGCTGGCGCCGACATGTCCATGATGGCCTTTGTCCAGCCCGGCTGCCCGGCTAGGTTCGCCTACCAGAATGAGCATCGTGTCAAAGGGCTCAACGCAGAAACCCTAGCGAGGGTCTTCCTTCCCACGCCCTCATGGCTGTCGACTCCGGAGTATGCAGCAATCCGGTCAGATACTGGCAATCCATCGACCTGCATCTTCTTCAGCCTTAATATTTCCATATACAACCAACAGATAATCTCCTCGGAATGGACCGAACAATGGTTCTTCATGGTCGGCCGTGTTCATCCCTTTGCCCTGACGTGGGAAATCGAGCGACGTGATGGCTTGAGTCGGACGATGATAACATCACAGAATACACCGTCCCCGCGCTTATAGTCCGCGATCACAGCTACCAACCGTGAGTCTATGCTCCAAATCTCTCTGTCGCCACTGCCCTCCTGACGATATCCATAGAATTGTCACTCGCACCTCAGCTCGGTGGATACTTTCCCAACGATACAACCCATTGTCTCCTTCACGGGACCTGTCATCGGCTCCGGCCGCGACCTCCTGCATGGAAACTCGGCTGCGGCCCTTGACGACACCCAGCTGAGCTGCTGCGGCTTTGTCCAGCTCTCCACCTTTATTTGTCCTGGGATTCCCGGCAAACCCCTTCAAGGGCTTTCACCCTTCCAAGTTTTCGTCATCTTCCCCATTCACGCTAATCCTTGGACCTCCCTATGCAAGAAGATGACCGAGAGGCGCGACAGCCAGTTCCAGTCGAACACTCTCTTCACCTGTACGGGCAAAATCGCCGGCTTACTGGATCACCAGATCATGAAACATGCCCCGGCTTTCGACCAAGACTATATCTTCATCGTCGTCCCCGACACGTGGACTTTCCACGACAAGGCCATGTCCGACCAGGCTTCTGCAACACAACTACTGCCGACGACACCCAAGAGCGCGGTCGGCAATCCTCGGACTATAGCGTTGCGTTGGCCAGGTTTACCTCTACGAAGAAACCCAAGGCCGCCCAAAGCCCCGCCTCCCCACGCCGCATGCTTCTGGCCCAGTCGATCCTTATGCTGGCATCAAGTCGGTCATTGCCCGATCCCTACCAAACCCCAACCAAGAGACCGCGACTTTCTCCCGAAACTTCCACCATAATCACCGACTGTGACGGTCAAGACTCCCAAATCCGATACCTCCTCCTTTCTGTCCCCGGAAGACCCCGCAGAGTCAGAGACGGACACCGAACAGGTCAATCACCAAGACACATCCGCCTCTGGCTCTATCAGACCTCCCGCGTCGATATCTTCCCGACCACTGCGCGCCCGACGTCCGCCCAAGAATATTCTCTAAACTTTAAAGCATCAAACGAAACAATACAACATGACAACATGTCTCATCATCCTCAAAATCAACTGCCAAAGGCTCGAATAGCACATTCTCTTCTCTTCTTGTTCTCCTTTTCATGAAGACGATCAAGTCAAAACTTCCCCAATATACTCCTTATTCTGTTTATACCTACGACTTATACCGGTAGCACATGTAAATTTTCCGAGCCTTCCACTCGCCCAGACATGCATTACCCACTCACATCTCTCTTCAACCCTGCCGTCTCTCCACGCCCTTTGAGTTTGCGCCTTTTAAACAAAATCTCCCTCCAGCGGCCTAGCCTGCCTCCCCGACGCTCTGTCTCGGTTTCACTCACGATAATGCTCTACGTCTCTCGCCGTGTCTCGTATCTCGACCTCACTCTTCTTCCTGTCTCCAATCTACTATCGCCAACTCTCTCTCTCTGTGTAGCCAACTCTTCTCCGGTTCTCTTGTCGCCAAATTTCGTTCCGAAAGGCTTCTTTGCGCGAGCCGCGGCTGGCGAGCCTTCCTCTCGTACTCAGTCAGAAAGCAAGGCATAAAACCTCCTCTGATTGGCTAATTGGCCTGGCCCGTGCTCAACTCGTGCGCGGATTGGTCGACTGATAACGTCACCAAAGGAAGGCCCGCAAAAACTACCCCTGAGCGTTGACTAGGAAACTAGCTTGCTTGGCAAAGTCTTCAGGAGTTTTCAGTTCTTCCTTTCTTCCATGCGGTCAATTTGTTGCGTTGCTATGCACGATTTTGACTGAATAGCCCCCGTGCCCCATACTCCTTACACTAAACTACATGGCGGCTGCTCCCCTTTTCTGTCGAACCTGTCAAACCACATCAGTTTGTTAACGGTATCTAGGCTCACACATGACCTCCGGCTGCCGGCCTACCTCTCAAGATTCCCTGGCTACCCTGTCTCCGGGAAGCAGTGCAGTTTCCTCCCTGATCATTCAGACCTGATCTAATTACCTGAAAGACAGCCTCCCCATCGAGATCTATCACGGTATTACACGTAGGACGTCGCAGAGCCTCCCTGCCCGAGCGAAATCGAGCAGTCTAGGTGTTTATGGTGTGGATACATATACAGCCAGATGGAGGACGATATACCCCAGGCGGTTCGGAACTGCCATACCTGCAAGCAATACCTGCCCGAAGTCGAATTTCGAAGCGTCAAGGACCCTACGAAGTTTACAAGAGACTGTGCTAGCTGTAAGGCACGCCGAAAGGAACGGGTAACCGAATCTCGAGCCGCCGTTGCCGCAATGCGGAATATCGCCTTGAGGCTATCGCCACGCAGAACCAGGAAGAGGACGGATTCGCTAGCTAACCTGACGCCTCCAAAGCGGACTGCGCCAACGCCTGCGTCTGTGAACGGCCCACAACCTCATGTCATGCCTGCTTTATTCCGTGGCCAGGCGCCTGCACTGGGACTGCCTATACCTCCGCTGGGGCCATCTACCCTAAGTGCTGTTGGGGGACCTTCCCTATCCCTCCTACCCATGTCCTGCCAACAGTAGTTCTGGGCACGCCGATTCAAGACACTGCTTCTACGGCACCTGTTGTGCAAGGCACCCTGTACCACAGGAATCGCTTCCTACCACTCCTTCATTATTGCCACAGTGTCATCGCCGCGGCCGTTATACTCGTCAAGGCACACAGCCTCAAGCGCGACAGTTTGGTCAGAGTATTGATCCGCCTTTTACAGGTGACCTTAACTTGCCTGCCCTTAGTGAGGAAGATCAAGCTCTTGTGAGGAGTTCTATACTGCGCTGAATGACGACAAGATGCATAGTTGCATTCGTTGCCAGGAGCGTTGGTTCGATATGAAGCGAAATAGCTTGAAAATCTGCAGCCGCTGCATTGGTCGAGACAGGAAGAAACCCTCACGAGCCCTACTTCTTTAGCGCTGCGAACAACCTTGACTTCGGGAAGTCCCCGGCAATCTACCTGATCTAACAATGGTCGAGGAGATGCTCATTGCTAGGGTTCACGTACACGTGAAGGTCCTGCAGGTACGTGGCGCTCAATATAAATATCGCGGTCACGTTGTCCACTTCCTTCGCAATGTTGGCAGGCTATTTGAAGAGCTCCCAGTCCTACCTGAAGAGCTAGATATCGTCCTCCTGCGGCCTACTAATATGGAGGGCGACCCTCGCTTCCGGCAACAGTTTGCTCGCGATTTCCGGGTACGCCGCCCATGCCTGTTGGCCTGGCTGCATTACCTACAACGCCACCACCGGGCTATCGCGATATCGCCGTGAGTCAGGATCGCCTGCACCGGCTTCCTCTTGATGGCAACATAGTTGCTTCCATTGCCAGCCAAGTGGCTGACATGCCTGACGGCGAGGTCCCCCAAGGGCCCGTTGAGGAGGCTGTGGAAGAGGATCCTAGCGACGCCGACGCATCAGCGATCCCGAATTTGCAAGTTTCCGATACCGAATTGAACGCTCTGCAGTCCCGATTTCTTGATGGTGCCCCTAACCTGAGCGCATGACTGATCTGAGTATATGCCGCGTAGCGCGCAAACTCTCCACCGGATGCCGCTGCCTTCCATTCGCAGGACCCCTATCGACGAATTCAACCGTTCCCAGCCGCTGCTAACGCTCGCGTTCCCTACCCTCTACCCTGACGGCAAGGCCGACTTCGTGGAGCCTCGCCTACGGAGCATCACGTACCAGGACTACCTTGGCCATGCGATGAGATGGCATGACGGACGTTTTGCCCGCCATAAGACGTGGCCTTTCGTCGCCCTCAACACGCTGTTACGTGCGCAGGTCCGAAAGCGAAGTGACTACTTCGTCAAGCAACGCGACAGCCGCCGTCAACCCCTTACACGCGCTGACCTAGAGGAAGCGATGGCTGAGCCTGACGAGCCAGAGGCTCAGGACCTGATCCAGTCGATCACGCGCCAAGCCGCGGTAATCAGGGGCACCCGGCCGTATTGGTATAAGCAAAGAAAGGAATTGGAAGCATATGCCTACAATCTGGGCAGACCTGGCCTTTTCGTTACTGCAAGTGCGGCCGATTACCACTGGGAGTCCCTATATCGTCACATGCCTCGATTCCAAGAGTGGAAAGCAGCTCCTGAGGCGGCGCGCATGGTCCTGTCCCGGCAACTACTGCGAGACAACGCCCACATCGCCGCTTACCACTTCCATAAGCGTTATACGCTGTTTAGGACTACTGTCCTGAAGCAGAAGTTCAACCTAACGGACTTTTGGGGCCGTTACGAGTGGCAGGGCAGGGGTTCCAGTCACCACCACGGCCTATATTGGCTAAGTGGCCACCCAGACTTAGATCCTGACAACGATCAGCCCGGGAGCAATTCGCCCGCATCTGGGGATATCACGTATCTGCTGTCAACCCAGAGCCTCAGCGAATACAGGCGCCTGGGAAGGGAATCCTGATCGGCAATCTATTGGAGCAGCCCCTTACGGTTCAGTTCCTATCAATGGTGGTCAACCGCGTGCAACGCCACCGCTGCAACAACTACTGTATGCAGCTCAATAAGCATACCAAGCAGGTGGAGTGCCGCTTTGGATTTCCTCACGGACAGCGCCTGCTAGCCTCCCTTGACAAGGTTCCTCATTCTAAGCACTGGAACTTCAGGGGCGAGAGGAACGATGGCCAGATTAACCACTACAACCGCTTGCTTACCGTTGCGTGGCTAGCCAATACAGATGTTTCGCCCTGCACGAGCCTCCAGCAGGTAATCGATTACGCGGCCAAATACTGCTCCAAGTCGGAAAAGAAGAGCGAGTCTTTTGCCCAGATTGGGAAGGCTTTGATGTCCCGGGTCAAGGACCACAACCCCCTGATTTCCTTCACGTCAAAGCTCCTTAATCAGCTGGTTGCTGAGCGGGATTACTCGAAGCAGGAGGTCAGCCACTTGCTCCTCGGCCTGCCGTTACAGGAAGGCTCACGAACCTGCCTGTACGTTGACTGTCGTAATCCTGACAGGCATTCCCGCTCCTCCGTATTGATGGCGATGAGGTTGACGAGGCCCCAACGTTTTCGAAAAGTACTGTCAACGCCCGGAAGCCCTAGCGGACCTAAACTACGTCTCCTTCCTGAAGTGCTGGAATTTCCGCCCTAGGGACCCTTCCAAGTGGAAGCAATGGCAGCCAGGCAACGTTAACGGTAGGCCTCGTGTGCTGGTTTACTTTCCTCGCTATCAGGCTGCTCCAGAAGGCCAACAGTGGCTAGATTACTGCCGTGCAAAGCTAACATTAAACCACCCACATCGGCGGGGTGATGATCTCCTCACATTTTATGGCCAGCTTTTTTGGTTCTCACGCTGAGGCCTTCTCCTATTGTTGGCAGCACCACAGTCATGGTGATGACCATTACGGTCGGCCAAAAGAGGCTCGATTACAGCCTCAAGATGATCAATACGAGGCTCTGCCTGTGGAGGAAGAATTTGATGACGAAGACTGGATTCGCCTCGCCGCCCTTTTACCTGACAACCCCCTTACCCAGGAGGATCTTGACCTACTTGGCCGCCGCGATATCGACGTCAATTACGACTGGACACGGCATGTGGGTACTTATCCGGAACTTCGAGACGGCTACTGGAAAGACCTTATCGCTAGCCACCCCATGGCCAACGATGTCGAGGTCCTTGGCCCTCACTGGCGTAATACGCTGAACCCACAACAACGGCTCGTGTACGACACATTCATGGGTCACTTCCAGGCGCAAAATCCTACTCAAATCCTTCTCCACGTTGATGGCGGTGGTGGCACAGGCAAGTCATTCCTTATCAAGGTGCTTTCTTCCCATCTTCAAGCAGCCGCCCTACCGAATTCTAGCCCTATTTGCCGCGTGGCGCCAACAGGCGTTGCGAGTAACCAGATACAAGGCAGCACCATTCATTCGTTGCTACGCCTCCCAGTAGGTGGTACTTTTACCGACCTTCCCCCAGCCGACGCAGCCGCCCTTCAGTCCCGCCTACGGCACGTCAAATACCTCGTTATCGATGAAAAGAGCATGCTAGGGCTTGAGCAGCTCGCGCGGATCGATTCCCGTCTGCGGCAGGCCTTTCCACAGCGTAGCCTCGAGTTCTTCGGTGGTGTGAGCGTCTTGCTTGTGGGCGATTTCTTCCAGTTACCACCAGTCCGACAGAAGCCCCTGTATTCGACTAGCACCAGCCTGTCTTCGTTGGAAAGGAGAGGGCAGGTGGCCTACCGGCTATTTGACCGCACCGTCTTCCTGACCACGGTACAGCGCCAGGTTGGTGATGACCAGGCCCAGTTCCGTCAGGCGTTACAGGAACTGCGTGAAGTCAAGTTATCTATACCATCCTGGAACCTCCTTAGCAATCGGGTACAGGCCAGGTTGACGCAGAGCGAGGTTGACGGCTTCAGGACCGCTTTGCGAGTGTATTCTACAAAGGCCCGGGTCAACCAATACAACCACGAGCATATGGTGCACCTCAACGCCCCGGCAATACAGGTCGAGGCAAAGAATCAAGGCAACGGCGCGGGACAGGCATCAAGCGACAGTGCTGGCAACCTATCTAACAAGTTCCCTGTTGCTAAGGGCACCAGGGTGATGCTCACGACTAATCTGTGGCAGCCAGCTGGCCTAGTTAACGGTGCTCAGGGTACTGTATACGATATCGCCTGGAACGCAGGCGCCGACCCGTTGGAAGACCCCCCAGCCGTTATTATGGTGGACTTTGATAGCTACGACGGACCGCCGTATCTAACAACTAACGAGGGCAGGAAAATCTCACCCATCCTCCCAGTCAGGCGAGACTTCCTTGTGGGCAACGAGACCTGCGCTCGCACGCAGTTTCCCCTGATGGTGGCGTTTGCTATCACTGTTCACAAATGCCAGAGCCTAACGAAGGATCAAATAGTTACTGATCTCGCTACACGCGACTTCCAGGCCGGCATTAGCTATGTTGCTGTCTCACGGGTTACGTCGCTGCAAGGCTTACTCCTTGAGGTGCCTTTCGATCGTCAGAGCCTCTATAACCACACGCCGACGGAAGGTTTACACGCCTGCGTTTCCTACGTACCGCGTTCACGACTAACTATAAGGCAGGGATGAAGATGCGCCTCGCTGACCAACAACGGCGTCAGGGTCAACAGCTGACCGACCCACCATATCCACCACGCTACCTTGACTAAACGGCATGTTCCTCTAAGCTGCGGGGAAAGGAGGTTCGATATATAGTATATAGTTATAGTTAGGTTGGGCCTGTTGGGAAGCAGCAGAGACTCCCTAACTATCAGTCAATTCCCTCAGTGCAGGTTTGAAGCGGTTTGAACAGCTGGTGTGCCCGCGGCAGGCGAATGGGGTTCTGGGGTCCCCTAGGAAAGTGAATTGCAGGTTACGATATTTACCCTTCGGGCTGGATATTCAGCCGTTAAGCCCTTGCCTTGGCAACTTAACGGGTGTTCGAAGTATTTACTAAGATCCTCGATATGCTTCTCGACAAGTGCAGTAGGTTCCTAGAGTTGCCAGCCGTATCAGCACGCCGCCGGCAATCAGACGCCTCGTCAATCACGGGTAGGAACTCACACCAAAAACTTTTGCAAGAGGTGAACCAGAATTATAAAGTGGCTAAGAGTTGCCAGCCGTATCAGCATGCCGCCGGCAATCCGACTCCTCGTCAGTCACGGGTAGGAACTTACACCTGTATTTTGAGGTCCATCAGGGTTTATAATACCCTTCTCAATAAGCCAATTTTTCCAAGATTCAGGAAGAAGACGACGAGCAGGACCGCGTTTAAGACCAAGATTTTCAAGACCTTCTGGAATAGCACCACCAATAGCAAGAGCAGAACCTCCTAATCTGGTGGCTCCGGACGTCTTGGGCTGCTTTGCTGCGGGCTTGTTGGGCTTTTCTTTGGCGGCTTTTGATTCTTGTTGGCCTCTTGGTTCTTCTTCGGTTCCTCTTCGCCCTTCTCAAGTGGGCCACACGCGTCTCTGCTCCATAACTTTGCTTCCTTTCCGCCACACTTGAAAATTGAAGGGAAAGGGCTGGATTTATTTGGGTTAAGGTTGATTTTTTTTGGCGTAGAGAACGCTCCATAATGCTCCGTATTATAGCCATCATTTCGAATCCATTCCTGTTGCCCATTCTTATCAATTTTCCAGGCACCAGTTATAGCTTCGCCAGGAGTTCCACCAATTGATGAGAACTCCTGGTTGCGTATCTCCGCTGCGCCCGGTATTTATCCAAGGAATGTATCCATCGGGTATGCCTCTTGCGGAAACAACGTAAATATAACCCGTGGGCTGCGGGTTCATTGACCCGCCCAAGGCATAGTATTTGGCTGTCGTGGGGCTTGTCGTGAATGGTACAAATCCCGAATTACCGTAGCCACCACTTAGGTGGCTTCTAATATCCATGGTGTCACAGGTCCCGGGGCCGGCTGACCGGTCATCCGGTAATCGGATTACCGCCCCGCCCCACGCAAAACCATGTCGTTTTCGAAGGCCCGGCCCTGCGGGGCTGGCGTTTTCTTAGTCGGATTACCGCCATCGGACGGCAAAATCGAAGGTCCACGCCCGCGGGGCCTGCGCGAGACCTTCGATTTCGGTCTCGCTCACGCGCGTTGCGCTCCACCTCCTCCTCCCACCTCCTCCTCCCCCTCCCCCATTGCCACCGTCGCGACGGCGACCGCCTGCACCATGTCGAACGCGATAGAGGATCCCCGGGTCAGGGCGGCCATTGAGCACTACCTGTTAGATCTGGAGAACACCCAGCCGAAGAATACGAAGCGAAATTATCGTCCCAAGCAGGAAGAATGGAAGGCAAGCCCGCATGCGCGCCCTGCAATCTTCATGTAGATCCATGCATTGACTGCCTCACAGGAGTGGTGTCAAGCCAACTGGCCTGCGATCCCGGACGTTTGGCCGGCCTCGGTACCACAGGGCCAACAGCTACCGGGAGACCTGGTCGATGAAGGAAAGCTCTTGCTCTTCATGAAGGAGGTAGTGGCATCACGTCCTCCAAAGAAAGGAAAGAGGGTCGCCGATGAAAGAAAACGACACCTCGAGGCTCAGGAAGCCAAGAGGGCCGTGAAAGACGCAGAGCACCATCAGGTAACAGATGTTGATCACGGGATGTGGTCGTCGGACTGAGCCAGCCCATCATACTAACACCCAGCTTCCCCAGCAGATACCATCGTTGTAGGCGGCGGAGGTAGCGAATACGAGTCAGACTCCGACTTGGAGTTGTATGAGTCCACGCTCAAACTACAGTATAATACTGTACGGGGCTACGTCTCGGCCATACAGAAGCTTTACGACGAGCAGAAGAGCCGGGAGTCAATCCTGCGGCCCGGCCACAGGGAGTGGCACTGAAGGCGCTCAAACGCAGCATTCTTGCAACGACTTGGAGCCGGAAGAGGAAGGAATACATGGACAGGGAGTTGGAACTCTGAGAGATGTGTATGCGCCGGCGCAGATGCCCGACCACACCAACGTGGCATGGTCCGAGAGAGAGATCGCCTGCGCCCTGAGGACGCAGGTGGACTTTCTGCTCGGGAACCACATGCTGCTGCGGTCCGGCAACCGCCTGCCGATGGAGTTGGCAGACTGCTTTCCCTGGACTTACCCAACGAGGGCTTCAAGGCCCAGGGTATACCACGAAGGCGCTGGTTGTCGTGATGAACTGTGGGAAGACCAACCAGCACGGCCGCATGGAGTATGGATCTGCTTTGCGGCATCGAGATCCGCGATCTTGTCTCATCGGCGCCCTCGCGTTCTGGCTTTTCTGGCGCTGGCAGGTAGAAAAGGCGGAAAGGTTTCCGTCTTCCAAAGAAGCGAAGACTGGTATGAAACGAAGGTGCTCCGCCGATCGGCGAAGGAGCCTCAAGGTAAGCGTGATGGCATTCACCGGAATCCCATAACTCAGAGGGTGCATCGACCCTTTCACTCACCGAATATACAGCTCCGTTGTCGGGCCAGACTGCCCGAGAATGGACGTCCAGGTTCTACAAGAAGGCCGGCATCAAGGTCTCCAAGGTCAGCCACGCGCCTAGAGTGGCCGCGACGCAAAACGCCGACATGGCCGGAGTGGATGAAGGCCAGGCATGTCATCTGCCCTAGGCAAGCCGCCAACCCCCTGGCCTGGGCTGACCCGAACTATACAGATCCGCCGAGCCGGTCGTTGGAATAACGGAGACCAAATGACCGGCTGCTATCTGACTTCCTGCCTTTCGAATTCATGAGGGCCGTGGCCGACTTTGACCCTGAATGGTCGGGGTCTTATTTCGTGCCCCGGGCCACCGTGAGGCCGCCTGTGGTGCTACTCGTGCAGGTCTGGCCTCAACTCGACAAATGGAAAGAGGCCCACAGTAGCCCTTTCTCAGATCTCGGGTGGAGCAGAACATGGCCGCCGGCGCCTTCTTGGAACTCCTGGAGTGGCTTCGAGAGGTGCTCCTGCAGGACGCTGTCTTCCTTCGCGAGTCCTACCCCGACCATCCTATCTTTCAGGATCCGGTCTTCTCTTGCCCCGAGTTTGAAGCGTTCGCCAGCAAAGTTCAAGACACATGCACACGGGACCACGAAGACAGCCATACCACGGTCATTCAAAAAGCGATCCCGGTGGTTGCGGAGAAGCTGCGCACAGTACTGACTCAACAGGTCGCAGCCGAGCAGTTAGCTGAGCGAAGACATCTAGACCTTTTGGGGGCTTCTTACGAACTATGCAAAGTTGGATGAGTTTGCGCAGGCCACCTACACCGTCACCTTCAGCCCCGGCCAAGGTGCTGCAGGTCAACATGCGGAGATCGCGGGAGCTCATCAACAGAGGCGCCGCGCTCCACGAGAGACGGTCCTCAGGTCCGAGATAGGCCCTTCGCAAGCGGGCGGTCCGACATACGCTCCGCTCTCTAGAGCAGCAGCAGGGAATGGTGCAAGCGGGCCAGGGCAAGCCCCAGGGAAGAGCGCATGGCGAGCCGCCTGGGCCGCGCGAACCTCCGAGCTTCAAGCTCCCCGTTCTGTCAAATCTGTACAGGAGCTGCTGCGTCTCTGGCGGCAGGGCTGGGGCGAAATGCCTTCTGTGGATTCTCTTGAGCGAGACTGGGGTGCTCGATGGCGGCCATCTGCAGAGAAGAATTACCTTTCCACGCGCAAGATCATCGTCGATGAGGTTCGGAGGCGGGCCCAGTCGGACGGCTTAACTGAAGATATCGTGGCGAGGCAAATGGACGAAGAACGTGGACCCAGCTCTTTGGATAAGTTGTTCAAGGCCATCCGAAAGGACAGGCAAGGCGAAAAGGGACACAAACGTGCGTCGGGGCAATTCAACGTCAGTGGTAGCGAAAAGTCGATGGCGCAGTGATTTTGAACACCCGTCTGATAGAATGACGAGGACCTTGGCGGCGAAAGTGCCCCAGGCCGTCAGGGCTGCGTCGCTACAGTCAGCGGTAGTGGCCTGTAGACAGGGTATGCATCCGCTAAGCGCCGCTGTAGCTCCAGTGCGTCAAGGCTAGAAAATGCTTCAAATCACCGCAACCTCGCAACCGACAGGATGTAGGACCTTAGACAGGGTGCATTCTGATCGCACAAACGCAGGCTATCCAGTCGAACTGGTTTTCTCGTCGTCGGTCCCGGCTTTCGCGCTTTATGGCGCTCCGAAGATGACATCAACCCGGCAGAGGTGATGTCAAGGGCAAGCGGGTAATCGGCGGTAATCTGCGGGGTAATCCGCTGACCGCCCACCAAAGCCGGACCTGTGACATCCACTTGTTGTCGCCCCGTGGCTGGAGACCTTCTCGAAACACCGTGGTAGTGGGTCGAGTGTCGCCACGCAGGAGTCTTCCTTCAAGAGGGGATTGTTTCGCACGGTCTGCCGCGGGCTTTATTTCAAGTTCTTCGCGGCGCTCGAGATTCTTATAAGGCGTGACTGACTCAATCGTCTTAAGGAGAGACCGGCCAATAGTCGCTGGGCCTGCTTTGGTGCTGCCGTTGCCATCGCTCGCGAGACCACTCTCCTGGGGTTCGCTGGGAGCTAGTGGCGATAATGGCAAGGTTGGTCGTTGGTTCATCCTAAGCGGCCTATTCTCCCTAGAGGTTCAACAATAGTTCCCTAGCCAAAATGGGAAGCTCCTTGATAGGTTCCTTTGCTGTGACTTGACGCATCTCTACTGGCGCCGGAACAGCAAAGCCCACAAACAGGGCTAGGACCTGGTAAGATTTCATGGCTGCTTTGATTGTGACTGCGATTTATAGAGGTGTGCTTTGACGTTATGAATAGCAAGCGGCCGAATCAATGAGCAAGCGGCCGCAGAGTTCATTGAAGATCTAGGCGATATGTTGCGGGGGACGACGTGGAATTCATAGGTCGAAAGCCGGTACAATAATGGGAAAGTTCCTGTATAAAATCTGACCGAACAGGTCCTGCTAGAACTCCCAGAAAAGAATCTAGCGTCATTCAATCTAATGCGGCCGAAGTTCGTCCTGCGTAGATGCACTGCACTTAGTCAGGCCTCAGCGAGGGTTGAGGAGATGAAAGATTAGCGTCACTTGAAACGGTAGTATGTTTAAAGTAAACCGATGGCTTGGTACTGTAATAGGGACCGCTTAACAATCCACCGCTTTTAAAGTACTTACTACCACTTTAAAGTGGGGGCGGGCACGAGTAGTCATTCAATGCTAACTACTCTGTCGAACACTTTTGCCGGCTCAGGTAATCGGGGAAGCTGGTGCGAGTCGACATGATGTGTTGCCCAAGTGGGACTCGTGGGGAGGAGCTCGATCAGCTCCAGGGCCAGAACGTCATGTTTAGCATGGGCCGGTCGCTCAATCGGGATGACATGAGGCGGGCGAGGATCCGTCCGTACAGTGCGAGTTCTGGTTGACTCACCACGGCCGCGAGTCGGCGTTCATGACTTGCGAATCTGGGACGGCCGACAGTGAGTCAAGATAAAGGCGGGATTTGAGTTGGGATGGCCAGTCTGCACGTTGACTGAGTTGGGATGACAAACATGAACATTGAGGGGGCGGTAGTCATGTCCGATCTTCCGATTGCAGAAACCATACGCGGCGGGTGTTTCAGTCGAGTGGATCATCTGCAAGTAACGACTGGGACAAGGTCAGGTTTGAGCCTCGTCCGACTTTACTCAGCGGAGGGAGAAGACTCATAACTGTTTACTATCCTTGGAATAGTGCATAAGTAGGTGGGTTTCGGAACTACGGGGTTTACCAGTTGGTTGAAGCCAGGCGGGAGCCAATAGGCTCACGGTACCCGCGAATCTAATATTTCGCGGGCACCGTGACAATGACTAAGCAGATGTCGCAGGGGAACGCGAGCCCGGTGACCGCGCGTGTTATTGACGGTCGACAACGCGCCTCAGCAAAGCACCCGTCCGCTTAAACATGCTGTAGCGACCGTTAAAATGGGTCCGCCTTCTCTCGGGCCGACTGCACCGTTTGCCGAAGACTGTCTTCCACCGGAACTTGACTACGACTCTCGCGATGACCTCCTCATTTCGATCAACGCTTGGGCTGCGACGCGGGGCTATGCCTTCACAACGGAAAGTCCACCAGAGCCAAGGGTGGCAGACAGACAGTGACCTTCGCGTGCGACCGGTCTTGTCGACCCCAAATCCGTCGATAGAACGTCAGCGAAAGACAACAACCCGAGGGACGGGCTGTGAGTTTTCGATTTTGGCCAAAGAATCAGCCGACAGGCAATCTTGGGCTGTGCGACACCGCCCAGACAAACGATTTTCCCTGCATAATCACGCGCCCAGTCGCCACCCTTCTGCTCATCCTGCTCATCGTAGGTTGACGGAGAAAGATATTGAAAAGTTATCGCGCCTTTCTAATGCCGGCATTGTCCCAAAGATATTCGGACCTATATACGACAGAACTGCGATTCTCTTGCCACACAACAAGACATTTACAATGGAATTGCAGCTACCAAGAGAGATGTATGCGAAGGGCAAAGTTCAATTCACGCTTTGGCCAGTCAGCTCGACCAGGAGGGGTTTTGGAGTCGGATCCAATTCGGCCAAGACGGCCGAGTGACCGCAGTCCTGTTCGCTCATCCAGAGTCCTTGACGTATCTCCAGGCATACCCAGATGTCTTGTTGCTAGATTGCACGTACAAGACGAACAAACACGGCATGCCGCTCCTCGACATGATAGGAGTAGATGCTTGTCAGCGATCATTTTGCATAGCATTTGCATTCCTTGGTGGGAGACCGAAGCTGACTTCGTGTGGGCGTTGGATCGCCTGAGGTCACTGTACGAACACCATAGCGCCCGCTTACCCTCTGTCGTCCTAACAGACCGCTGCATCGCCTGTATGAACGCCGTTGCCATTTTTCCCACTTCTTGCTCACTACTCTGTCTGTGGCATGCCAACAAGGCCGTCCTCCGCTATTGCCGGCCAGCCTTCGTCCGCCAGGACCAACCGGAGTCCACAAACGCAGAGACAATTGATACGTCAGAGAGCAACGGCTGGTCTGAGTTCTACCAATTCTGGCACTCGATCATGGCTGCACCAAACGAAGAAGCATTCAAGGACCGAGCTACGCAATTCGAGAAGAAGTACCTACCCAACCACCTCAAACAAGTTGGATACATCAAAACTTTCTGGCTTGAAGGGTATAAGGAAAAGCTTGTTAAGGCTTGGGTTGATCAACATGCTCATTTTGGAAATACAGTCACGTCGCGCGTGGAGGGCATACATGCATTGTTGAAGGCCCATCTCAAAAAGTCCACGCTAAATCTTTTCGAGGCTTGGAGGGCGATGAAGCACGCGTTACTCAATCAACTGTCAGACTTGAGATCGAATCAAGCCCGACAGCAGATTCGGGTCCCAATTGAGCTCTCTGGGCCCTTATACGCTTCAGTGCGCGGTTGGGTCTCCCATGAAGCGCTGAGAAAGGTGGAGGAGCAGCGGAAGATGCTTGGTAGGAGAGATCCTCCCCCACCGCCAACTTGCACGGGGGCTTTCACCAAGTCCCACGGGCTGCCTTGCCTTCACACTCTAAAATCTTTGCAAGAGCAAGGACAAGTACTCTTACTTGAGCACTTCCATACGCACTGGCACCTGCAGCGGGATGGAACTCCCCGGCCGCTGCTAGAGCCGCGCCAGCGAATCGAGTCGACCTTAGCAAGTTCGGCTATTCCCAAGCAGAGCACTCGGAGAGAACCCAGTGCATTTGAGAGTATCGAGGAGGCTCGTAAAGCGCCACCCACATGCAGCAGGTGCCATACGGTTGGTCATAGGATGACCGCGAAAGCCTGCCCGCTGCGCTTTGGAGAGCTGCTTCAGAGACTACGTCGTCGATGCATTCACGATCGGTGTCACCATCGGAGATCGTACCGTCATCCCAGTACGTGCAAGCCGCTTTGGACGCACAGGAGCCAGAGCTTGCAACTGAGCCGCCAACTGATGCGTCCCTGGCGACGGATTTGGGAGTGTCGCAGGAACCCTTACAATTCTGCCCACTACAGCTCCAGACCATCCTCCTGCCCAGTCGGGTCAGTCCTTTCACGCCGAAATAGGTTCAGTTGCCACGACCTTTCCCGGTGACCAAGATTCCGGGCCCGTACCGGGTCCGCCCGCGATGCCACTGAGCTGCTGGTATCGCCACCACCTATCTCACCTGACTTGCCAGCCCCACCGCCGCCGAAATATGATTCACCAGAAGCTATACACAAAAGTTATACCGCTGCAAGAAGCGCATGGTATGCAGCGCAGCCGGCCGGCAGCATCAAGACAAACCAACAATACCGCAAGGCAATGAGGCTTCCAGCTAGGTATGACAAGCAAAGCTATGAATGGTGTATGGACTACAAACAAATGTCCAGGCATTGCGCCACTACAACGGGGTTGAGAGCATGGACGAAAGAAGAAATGATGGCATACCTTGACTGGAGCCATGCAGAAGATCAGCGTGTTGAAGCCCAGATCATGAAGGAGATGGGAGACAATCCGTTAGCCAACACACGGAGGGGCGTGGCCGACATTTGGCGACAGGTAGAAAAGGACAGCCGAGAGCAGGAAACGCTGTATTCTGCACATGTTGAGGCAGATGATTGTATTTTCGTCGAGCCGTAGTTGGCTCTACTGATATTAGCAGCTCTTTAGTTCTAGTAGACAGTAGACTCACACATACGACGAGCACAGTGCCGACAGACTACCCGCATCATGGCTTTACGCAGACAACGGACTGTGATTAGTCATTTTCGCGGTGCCCGCGAAATATTAGATTCGCGGGTACCGTGAGCCTATTGGCTCCCTCGGCTGAGGGAATGGTGAATAAGCCTTGCAAAAGAAAGGTTGATGAGGCTTGTAGATATTGATGTGTGTAACGGGCAAGCCGCTTTAACGGCGGCTGCGCCGCCTAGCTTCTAGAACCTTCCATTGGCTCGAAGCTATAAAATGCTATTGTGCTCTCATGTAGTAGATTCTCTTTCTTTCTTTCTTTCTTCTCTATCTTGATAGTAAACAGCATAGGGACTAGTTAGTTGTATCAACTCACTAGAGGCCTTTCACATACTATCAAGATCACTGAAGACATTGAAGACACTGAAGACACCGAAGACACTGAAGACACCGAAGACACCGAAGACACTGAAGACACCAAACTGAGTCCCGTCGAACTATTAGCGTTCAGCGAAGTCGCGATGGCCGAAGATAACAACAACATGCAGCCGGACGTCCTCAGCGCCCTGGTTGCCGAGATACGAAGTCTGAGAGAAGAGAGTTCCCGAAGAAACACCCAGTTTGAAGAACGTTTTATTGCCCTGGAACTCCAACAACACCAGCAAGCCCGTTCGTCTGAACTCCTAGAGCCAACGCCATCTGTCACCCCGGCTGTCCCCATTGAGGACACCCGTGTGGTCGCCACTCACAACCCTCACCCAACCAAGCGCCCCAAATTACGAGACATACCGAAATTCGGCGGCGACAAGGCCCAGTGGCGAAGCTGGAAACTAGAAACCGAAGGAAAGCTACGAGTCGACAAAGAAGCCCTTGGAGATGCAGAAGGCCACTTTATGTACATCTTCATGAGCCTAGAAGGCAAGGCTAAAGACAACGTGACCACATTTGTGGAGATGCAAACCGAGAAGAAAACGTTCAATGTTGCTGAACTACTCAACCGCCTCGAATTGCTGTACGGGAGAGGGATCGCAAGCGAGAGCTACACGCAACCTGCATTCGATTAAGCAAGGAGAGAATGAACCGTTCACGTCCTTTACCCCGCTTTGAGAGGAGATCGCCAAGGCCAAGGCCGAGTATTGGCCAGATGACAGCAAGATTTCCTACCTCCAGGAGGCACTAAACGATAAAATGAAAGCAGCCCTCATAGGCTCTGACCCTCTGCCATCAGCAGCTATGTTGGGCTGGCGAGGAGGTGCGATTCGCTGAGCAGCCAGATGGAATTGTTGGGTCAGTGGAAAGGCCTCGAGGCAACCAGGCTTTCTAATCATACGCGTATGGTTTAATTAAACCATATATTGCCCATATATTGTCAATAAACCTATACCATACTGAATCAGCCGTATGACCATATATGGCCATACGCGGTGTAAAGTTCCCCCGAGGCTGAAATGCTTGGCGAGTGGATGGGTGCAACTAACGTTTGGTGAGGTTTTACCAAGTTGCAGAACCTTTGATGATTCAAATTGCATGGACGTGTTCTCCTCGCGCAGTGGGACATTAGTGAAGATAGCGCGAATACGTAGATCGTGTCCTCGAACCTTGCCAGATAAAAACAGTGGATTCCTCATGTATGTATGTATGTGTATTTTCCGTCCAGCGGCCGTGAGGCCGCTCAGGTCCCGGTGGGGCACAGGACGTGCTGAGCTAGTAGGCTGTCTACAGTCTCCTCTCGCAAACGTAAACAACCACCATCCAGCATTTCATCGGCTCTGAGGCGCTCCGTGTTGAACCTGGTGCCCGTCAGCGGGTCGTGCAGGCGCGGCGGTGAGATCGCCATTCAGTTTTGGTCTCCAAGGGACCGTTGTCGGAGACTGCAGAGCGCAGCCTCAGTTGGCCCGGCCGGGCAAAGGGTGTTGCAGCACCCTCTGCCTGGCCGAATCCGGGGGGGATTTGAACAAAGGAAAGAGGTGAGGGAAAGGTGTGATGCAGCCGCCTAGTGGCGAGGGCAAGCCCATTCAAAGAAGGAGGACGCCTTCGCCAGCTTGACGAACCTGTCGAAGTCTCTGCCTATTGCGCGATTGACTGCTGCAGTAGGTGAGGGCGTCAGCCTCATCCGATGCCGCGGCTCGATCTTTCGGCAATAAAAGACATGGTTTGGCTCTTTTCGTCGGCCACATGAGCACGTCAGTCGCGCATCGTCGTGGTTGAACCTCTCGTGGTAGTCGGCAAAGTCCCCGTGACGGGTTCTGGCTGCAAGCAGGTGGTGGAGAAGCGGTCGGGGGAGTTTGAGCTCCAGGGGGCAGCCGGTCGTCGGCTTAGGTGCAGTGGCTTGTACTGTTCGGGTGCGGAGGCTTCCCACCAGGCTTTAAATGCACTTTAGGCTGCTGCCTGGCAGCCCTGCGCAGATATGCCAGTGTCGGGACAGCGCCTGCGGGCTCGGGTTGAGAGGTTCCTGCTTTCGCTAAGGCATCGGCCTGCTCGTTGCCTGGGATGCTGGTGTGGCCGGGGATCCAGCGGACCTCCGTGGCACCGTGTGCTGTGGCCAGGGCCTGGAACTCGAGGAAGACATCCTGGGAGGAGTCTGCCGGCATGCCTCTGAGGCATGTTGCCGCCGCGATGTTGTCGAGACAAACGACTACCCTCTGCGATCGTGGGAGGCTTAGGGCAGCGCGCAGGCCCTCGAGCGCGCCTTTCGCTTCCGCATCAAAAACCTCAGCGGGCCCAAGTCGGCCGCAGCCACTTAGGACGGTTTGCCCATCCAGATGGATGGCATAGCCATAACCGACCGCTGCATCCGAGGAGAGCGATCCGTCTGAGTAGACGACCAGAGTGTGTGGTGGCACTGACCGGAGCCAAATGCGGAAATCCGCTGCTGACTGGTCTTTCGGGGCGGTTTGCAGAGGCAGCGCCTGATCGTCGCCGAAGCGGCGAGGAGGAGAATTGGCCGCCTGCTGCAAGGCAGCAGCTGGTCACTGCGTCGAAGTCGGGTCCGGAAGCCTTCTCGCGGCACCTGGTACTTCAGTTTGATCGACCTGTGGATGACAGGGGGCTTGGGCCGGACTGTACGTTTCGCAAGCGGATGGGCTTCATCGAGAGACTTGAGGCGGGCCGCGAAGCGCATGCGACGCCCTCGAGCAGTTGTATCACCGGTGGAATGCCGCTCTCTCGATGGAGGGCATTGATCGGCGTCGTCCTCCAAACAGGCAGGATGGCTCGGATGGATGTGTGAAGCGACTTGTTCATCTTTCGGATGAGTTGCTGTATCCCGGATGGTCCTTCTTTGCTGGCTGGGTCCATCGCGGGCTGGTTAATCCGGGGTACCATGCCTCGGTGCCGTGGAGCAGCACCGGTTCGATACATGCTCTTACGGCTCTGCGAACGGCACCGGAAGAGGACCATGTTTGGTGTTTGCCAGACTTTTCAAGTGATAGGCCACGACCTGTGCCTTGGCTGTCCACTTTTCCACGTGTGTCTTGAACGACAGGGTGCTGTCGAGCCAGATGCCTAGCCATCGCAGTGCTCGGTCAGGGCGCTTCTCTGAGTCGCCGTGAAATATAGGCGGGGCAACTTTAGGTTTGCTTCGACAGAAATGCATGACCTCAGTCTTCATCGGGTCGAAGGCGATGCCGTTGGCGGCGCCCCAGGCCACAAGTTCGTTTACATAGCGCGACGCTCTCTCGGCTGTCTTCTCCAGGGAGTTACCTATGCATAGGATACCCGTGTCGTCTGCGTAGCCGAAGCGCCCCTTCGGCTTCCCTAGGCGGTAAATTGGTTCCGTGTACAACAGAAAAAGGATGGGCGAGACTGGTGATCCCTGGGGGAGGCCGCATTGGAGAGGCGAGCTGGGCGTGGTAGTGTCCTGGTATCTGACGCGCGCCGAGCGGTCATGCATGAAAGAACCAGCCCATCGAGCGAGATGTTCTGGCCACCCCTGCTCACGGAGGCGAAGGATCAGCCTGTTGCGGAGGACAGTGTCGAAGGCTCCTGGATGTCCATAGTCACCAACGTGGCAACTTGTCCGCGGGCAAACGCCTCTTCAATGTCATGCAGCAGAGCGGCAACAAGGTCAACGGCAGATCTCTTCGGGAGAGCGCCAGCTTGTTGTGAATGGAGGACTCCGTAGTGGACGGAGGCCCATGCCAGGCGGCGTGCGATGAGCCGCTCGAGACCTTTGCCTAGGCAGGACAGTAGGAGATGGGTCGCCAGGCACGAGGGGTCGAGAGGTTCCTTCGGCCTGGTTTTGTTATCATGACTACTTCGGCCTCTCTGAACGGCTTCGGGTGATGGCCGATGGTGAGGCAGCCTTCGTACAGCCGCTGGACGTGGCTTCCGATAATATGCCATACCGCCTTGAGCATTTGTACCGTGATGCTGTCGGGGCCGGGAGACGTGTTTCCTGTCCGTAGGGTTGCGTCGCGCACTTCCTCAAGTGACGCCTGTTGCGTGAAGGAACGGTTTTCGTTGTGTCGACTGGGATCCACGGATCTGGGATGTCGTCGTCCGCCGTGCGCCGCTCGAGCGTCGCCCGCCGTAGGGCATTGGCTTTGTCAAGCTGCGTCTCGTAAACTACATCGCCTACTTGTAGGGGCGGAGGCTGGAAAGCGCCCGGTGATCTCAGCCATCGGACCGCTTTGAATATGGAGGCGCTGTCAGTGAAGCTGTCGATCAGATTGCGCCAGTAATGTCTTTTGGCTCGCCGCACGACTTTCTGGAAGTCTCTCTTTGCAAGCTGGACTTCCCGATTGAAGCCGAGAGGGTAGACTCTCCTAATCGCGCGGTATTCCGCCGCGGCGAGGCGCATTCTTCTGTCCACCAGGGCGCGCTGCGCCCCTTTGCGGACAGGGCGACCGGCGGCCTTGGCTGCCAGTTGGAGAAGTTCCACGAGCGCCAACGCCAGGAATCAAGCTCTTGGGAGACGAGGCCGCGGCCGGGATAGCTGTTGCTCCGGAATCGACCATTTCGGCGAAACGAGCGAGCTCGTCGTCAGAGGTGAGGCGGACCTTTCCTAGCGGCACCGAGGCCGGAGCCAGGTCAGCGAGTGTCACGCTGAGCGTGAAGTGGTCAGAGCTGGTGGCCAGGTGTTCCTCCACGACAGCTTCGGATAGTGGTATGTTGGAGAAGGCGAGGTCTATTGTGTTGCCATGTGGGTTCGTTGGCACATCGGCAGGGTTGAGCAAGCTAAGGCCGTTCTCAGAGGCCCAAAGGCGATGTCGTCACCTCGGCCATCGAGCCGGCCGGTTTGCCAGCTACTGTGTTTGGCGTTGAAGTCGCCTGCTACTAGGCACCTTCCTGGTGTGGTCCACTGGAGGAGCATCTCCAGTGCTTCATCGTAGTGCGGTTGTCGATAGAAGTTTACTACTGTTATGTTGTTGATGGTGAGCCAGAGAATGTCGCGGGTCGCCACAGGCCTCCTCTGATCTGTCATCAGGCAGGGACTCCGCCGGACATAGGTCATTACTCGAGGTCGGGTGCTGTTGTCGTCCCAGCTGTCGACTGGGGAGAAGGTATCGTAGGCTGGGTGGGTTTTGGTAAGACATCGGCCGTCCTTGGCTTCCGTCCACGGCTCCTGGAGGAGCACTATGTCGTATCGTTCAGAGTCGGCGAGGGCAAGGGCGCAGTCATGTGCTGGCGAGATCTTGCCTACGTTAGCTTGGAAGACTCGCAGGGTCTTCTTGTCGCTTTGGTTCACGCGGGATGTCTCGTCATGGAGATAGTGCAATGGGGCTGATGCGTCGCTTCTTTGAAGGGAAGCTGGTCTAGATTCGTTGCCCTCGCTCTGAGGCTGAGGTGTCGTGGTTACCATAATGAATGGCGGAGACATGGTCCTGGTCGAGCTTAGGACTGAGGTTTCGCTCCTGCCCCGTGACCTGTCATCTGGGTGCTCGGCTTCCTGGTCGTCGGGCTGAGCAGTGCTCGGAGCTATGGAATTGAGAATCTCGGAGGAGTCTCGTTCTAGCTGTTCGTTGGTCTATGCGCTCGAACTGTTGCTTCCGCTGAGCAAATAGTTGGGTGCCCATCTGTCGGACGAGGTTTTCTCCTCCTTCGTCAGGCGGCGAATGACGCCGTGTGATCGCTTGGGGCGTGCAGGGCATTTCGAGAAATCTGCGGAATGGGGTCCGAGGCAGTTTGCGCACTGCTCGAGGGCTACGCAGGTTTCACCGTCATGGCCGTTCCTTCCGCAACGCTTGCAGGACGGTTGTCGGTCACAGCTGTGTCGAGCGTGGAAATCCCAGCATTTGTTGCACTGGCTGGGCATGCTGGATCTGACGATGTGTCGGGCAAGTCGGCTGGAGCCAAAAGTCTCCAAGGTCTCTGGGTAGGCTCGAGGAAGGACACAATAAGCGTCTTACTCGGAAGGTCGCTTGAATCGTGCCGGCTGGGACGGATGCTGATGGGTGTGAGCCCGGTCTGGCAGGCGATTTCGTCTTTGACGGCCGCCTCGTAGTTGACTTCATTGCCCTGCAAGTCCGTAAGTCTTCGGGGCAGTTGGGCACGACGTACGTGTACCATTTGTGACTAATCTCCACCGAGGTCGCGTCTAGGTCCTCGGACCATTCCGACTGTCGCTGGACGATGAGGTCCCTGATGGTAGCGTCCGTTGTTCGGATGGCCCATCCGGAGTTTACCTTGAAAGCTGCCGGGACCCGGTGCAAGTCGATGCCGACTTTGGCGGCGATGTGGGTCCGAATTGCGTAGCTGCTGTGGTCTCGCGCCGGCGCTTCGGCATCGAGCCGCACGAAAACACGGAGGTCTTCTTTTGGTGGGGCGGGGATTGGTCGTCCCTGGAGACGGGAGATTGGTTGTTGTGGTCGTTGCTGTTGCGGGGCTGCGGCGGCCGTGGGAGTGTGGCCCCCGAGGGGCTGGCTTGCAGGGCGACCGGCGGCGACGCTGCTGTAGGTCGGGGCGGGTGCGGAATTGAGGTCGGAGAGCGCCTGCTTCCAAAAGTCGAGGAAGCTGTTGGAAAATTGTTCCGCAAAGCTGTGTTCAAGGCCGGACGTGTATTGTTTCGCAGTCTGTTCGAACGATTCACAAAAGGCTCGGAACACTGTCATTTTGGCGTTGTAGGCATTTGTTTGTTCAACTGCGAGCTTGTTGGCAGCTTCAACGATCGAGACCGGCTGGAGGTTAACGGACTCGGCCGAGCCAGGCCGGTTCGGGGTGGATTCACGCTGCGCTCCTTCCGTAGCGGCGGCATTGGAGAGTCTGATAGGGGCGAGGACGGCGTCGCCGCCGGTCGCCGAAACGCGGATGTGAGACCAATGGGACGGCTCGCAATGGGGGAACTGTGTCGAAGCTGAGATGCACGGGCTAATCGCGCGAGGTTGGGCGGGGTATGGACACCCAGATCAAAGGGATCTGGGCTGGCATGCGAGCTCGTGGCAGATGCCATGGCTGCTGCCGAAGCCAGCGCAAAGCGCGGCTGGAATGATTAACGTGCAGTTGTTAGGCGAGTTGGTGGGAAATTGCGCTACTTTCTTAACAATTGCATGCCAAGAAAGTAAGAAAACAGGGGAAGGTGAGTGGATTCCTCATGAATGCGGCGAAAAGAGTGTAGGGTAACCAACGTTGCTTAGATTGTCACGGTATGTCACCCAAAAACATAATTCGGAAGCTAGGAATAGGTTGCGTGTAGAACTGAAAATGCAATAGCAGACCCAAATTACATTAGGGATATTTGAGTTGATTCTCATATGCCGTTCAATTCGTGCATTCCGCGGTGAGTTCGCTCCTTGGGTTGTTTGCCTGAGAAAAATATCTCCATCGTAGATGGATAACGTCGTAACTGCCACGGGTGTCATGAGCAATGACGTCATTTCTCGTATGGGCAATATATGGTTTATTTCACCATATGAGAATAAACCATACACCATAAACCATACGGGTCCGTATGGCGTATGGCGTATGGTTAGAAAGCCTGGAGGCAACACAAAGAGTTCGGACAACTATGACAACCACCAGAATCATGGAGGCCAGGCTGCCCAGAAACAGTCTGGCCAGAAAACCGAAGTTAGACGAGAGGATATGATGGAATGGGAACCAACTCTACAAGCATCCGCGAAAGTGAACGCTGCGCGCACCCGCAGTGATAAGAACACATATGGTTACTAATCCAAGCGACCAGAAGACCAAGCGCTGTTGGGCAAGCGTGCCAAGTGGGTCGACCAGGCCGAGATGGACGCCCGTTACCGTGAAGGGCGTTGCCTCCGTTGTGGAAGAGACAACTGCAGAATCGAGCGCTGTCCATTGGCTGCGCCTATCCGACCCGCAAACACGACCCGACGCACTCAGGTCAATGCCGTGACCCCGTCACGACCAGCGGTCACTAAAGCCGAGGTCGCCGAAGACGATACTTCTTCTCATAGCGATGAAGATTCAGACTAGGGACACGCGGCGGCTGTGAGAGAATGGGATGTGAGCGGAAAAGCAAAAATGGACGGAGAACCGTTCATAGCAGACGTCAGGGTGAACGGCACAGACTTCGTGCCATCTCTTGTCGACTATGGCTGCCTCTGCTACGGCGCGGTTAGCAAGCGCACATTTCACTCTCTCCAGTTGCCACGTATACGCGTTCAGCCGCGTATCTTGGAGAACGCAGCGGGAGACGGCAAGGAGGTCAAAATCGACAAGATCACGTATGTGTCGATCGACCTCGATGGACATCAGCAGCATCGTGTTTTCATGTACGTCATCGACGATCTGAACTGGGATATGATCCTGGGTAAACGATGGATGGAAGACCAGGATGTTCACATCCATGCGAAGGAAGGATATCTCGAGATCGGGTCCAATGGAGTTCAAGTACGAGACCGACGACGTTACCAGCCTCCCCAGCTAGATGTCTCTAATGTCATGGCCGCAACCTTTTAGCAGAAGCACGCCGTGACAAACGCAAAGGCGGCATTGGAGTTCACTCGGTCACGATGGCGGATATTGACAAGGCCCTAAGACCGAAACCGAAGACTGACGTAATGGAGAAGCTGCCACCACAGTACCACAAGTGGTCTCGAGCTTTCTCTCAGCAACTGGCCGACCAGCTGCCCCCTCATCGGCCAGGTGTGGACCTGAAGATCGAAGTGCTGAAAGACGAGCATGGCCGAGAGAAGCCCTACCCTGGGGACCGCTTTACAGCATGTCCCGCGAGGAGCTATTGGTACTACGGAAGACTCTCACAGAACTACTCGACAAGGGATTTATTAGAGTCAGCAGCTCGCCAGCCGCGGCACCAGTCCTTATGGTGAAGAAGCCCGGCGGAGGCATCCGCTTCTGCGTGGATTACAGAGGTTTGAACCATATAACGAAGAGGGACCGCTATCCCTTGCCCTTACTGAGCGAGACCTTGCGAACGATAGCCAAGGCAAGGTGGTTCACCAAGGTAGATGTTATAGCAGCGTTCCATAAGATCAGGGTCGCCCCCGGCGACGAGGAAAAGACAACTTTCAGAACGCGCTATGGATCCTTCGAATGGCTGGTAGTTCCATTCGGCCTGACAGGCGCACCAGCAGCCTTTCAGCGGTACATTAACAGCGCGCTCCAGGATTACCTAGACGATTTTGTGTCAGCATATATCGACGATGTCCTGATCTTCTCCTCTGGAAGCCTGCAAGACTACCGCGACAAGGTCGGCAAGGTCCTCCAACGACTGATGGACGCCGGGCTGCAACTGGATATCAACAAGAGTGAATTCGAAGTCAAGGCTGTGAAATACCTTGGGTTTATCATCGAGGCGGAGTGTGGGATCCGAGTCGACCCTGAGAAGGTTGAGGCTGTGAAGGAATGGGCAACCCCGACGAATGTTAAGTCCGTGAGGAGTTTTATTGGATTCGCGAACTTCTACAGGATGTTTATGCCAGAGTTCTCGGTGATAGCGGAGCCGCTAACGCGGCTAACGAAGAAGGACGTGCCATTCCGTTGGGATGAATTGTGCGAAGAAGCCTTCGAGAAGCTCAAGGACCTGTTGATCACGGCCCCGATCCTTGCACACTTCCATCCAGAAAGGGAGACTATCGTGGAAGCAGACGCTTCAGGATTCGCGTCGGGAGGCGTGCTCTTGCAGAGAGATGATAAGGATGGACTGGTACGACCTGTCGCATACTTCTCGAAGAAACATTCGGCAGCCGAAGCGAACTACGCTATCCATGACAAGGAGCTACTCGCCATTCTCAGATGTTTGGAGCAGTGGGAACCAGAGCTACGGGCAGTAGAGCACTTCAAGATCCTAACGGACCACAAGAACCTGAGGTACTTCTACTCGGAAAGGAGGTTGACAGAGAGACAAGTGCGGTGGTCGGGTTCCTGTCCAGGTTCCAATTCGAGCTCGAATGGAGGCCGGGCCGCAAGGGCGGATTGCCTGACGAACTCTCTCGACGGGACCAGGATATGCCGGCCAACTACTCCGATGAACGACTAAAGGGACGCATTATGAGGCTATTCCAAAATGATCACCTTAGAAGGGTCCCAATATCGACATTGTCTACCAACAACGAGGGTGCCCAGGAAATCAACTTCGGAAAAGAGATCAGGATATTTGAAGATGAGGAGTTACAGCAGCTGTGGCACGCCGCACGGCAAGAAGACAAGCTTTATCAAGAACTCACGAAGCTGGTAGCAGATGGAGCGAAGAGTTTGCCAACAGAGTTACAGAAGGTTGTCAGCATTTCAGAATGCTCATTAGACAATAGAGGCCTGCTGTGCTTTAGAGAACGCGTCTGGATACCCGGTTCGGAGCCGCTACGTACAAAGATCATCCAGGAAACTCACGACTCTCATATCACCGGACATCCTGGAAGGGACCTCACGTACTCGACTCTGTCGAGACGCTTCTTCTGGCCGGGTGCCGCTAGCGATGTACGTCGGTTTGTGCGCAACTGCGAGGTTTGCGGACGAAACACCATCTGGAGGATACAAAGAAAGGACTCCTAAAGCCGCTCCTATTCCGCAACGCATATGGAGCGAAATTACCATTGACTTTATTACTGACCTCCACCGTCGGGGAAAGATGGCGCGACGAACTGCATGGTGGTCACGGACCGACTCACCAAAGGCGTCGAACTCGAAGGATTGAACGATATTTCCACAGAAGCGGTTGCAAGAAGACTCTTCGAACGACACTACCCTGTCCATGGCATCCCAACGGCTATCACCAGTGATCAGGGTCCCCAGTTTGTCAGTGGTATGTGGAAAAGTTTCTGTCAGATGCTAGGGATCGAGCAGCGGTTGTCGACGGCGTACCATCCACAAACCGACGGTGCAACAGAACGAATGAACCAAGAGGTAGAGAGGATTCTTCGGATATGGACGAATTATCTGCAGGAGAACTGGTTAGACTTGCTTCCAATCGCGATGGCGACTATTAACGAGAGGAAGCAACCTCCACCGGACTGAGTCCGTTCTTCTTCATGCACGGCTACCACAACGAGCCAATCCAGTTAGTTGAGCATCGAAGAACGGAAGACACGACGCAGGGGGAAGCGACAGCGGAGGATTTTATTCAGAGACTACAGGACGCCACGGAGTTTGCGCAAGCAGCGATAGCTATGGCCCAGGAAATACAGCAAGCGCAAGCCAACAAGCACAGGACAGCCGCACCGAGATACGAGCCTGGGGATTGGGTATACCTCAACGAGAAATGTCAAAACATCGCGACCCTGCAAGAAGCTCGATTGGCTACATGCCAAATATCAAGTGCTCGCGGAAGTTAACCCACATGCCTACAGGTTGGATGTGCCTGGGCGCATCCATCCAGTCTTTCACGTCGACCTACTCCGGCCAGTCCCCGGAGACCCATTGCCTTCGCAGAAACTCGATCTGAGAGTGCCCCACCGGTGCTGGTGGACGGCGAAAAGATGTACCTTGTTGAAAGAATTCTGGATGAAAGAATGGAAGGTACGCATAAGAAGGTGCTCGTAAAATGGCATGATTACTCGCAGCCTACGTGGGAACCCCTTACCACTATTCGACACACCGATGCATGGAAGCAATGGAAGAAGCATAAAAGGAGTGTCACCTTCTCAAGTCATCTTGCCACAGATTGCCACGATCCCCCGGAAGAGGAAACGTTGGAAGGGAGGGAGGTAATGTAACGGGCAAGCCGCTTTAACGGCGGCTGCGCCGCCTAGCTTCTAGAACCTTCCATTGGCTCGAAGCTATAAAATGCTATTGTGCTCTCATGTAGTAGATTCTCTTTCTTTCTTTCTTTCTTCTCTATCTTGATAGTAAACAGCATAGGGACTAGTTAGTTGTATCAACTCACTAGAGGCCTTTCACAATGTGCCAGTGTAACAGTGCAACACAGCATTTCTCTCAACCCGACTCAGAGCGCCATTGTTGCCCTAGTCAAGCAGCTACCAGAACAGACATACCACGTCTTCTTCGATAACCTTTTTTCCTCGCCGAACCTTCTCAACGCTCTTCGTCAGCTAGGGATTGGGGCCACAGGCACAGCCCGAGTGAACTGTGGCTTCTATCAGCCCTTCGTGGAAGCAAAGAAAGCTGACACGAAGGGTGACTGTTGGCCTTGGGGCACGCTGAAGACTGCGCCTACCCCTGACGGTCAGGTAAGAGCATCAGAAGACAGGCTCCCTAGTAATTCCCCTACTAATTTGTCTTCTTCTTTGCAACTCGGCTAAGCTACCTAGCCAACACAACCGGCCTGCTAGGGCCTACGCAACTAGGGGGAAGGAAACAAAGATCTGCGATAGATACAGCCCTCCTCCTTACACACTATATCCAAAAAGAGCAAGCAGCAAAGAGGAAGGCTATTACCAGCACTCTCTTTCTAGATATAAAGGGGGCCTTCGACCATGTGTCGAAGGAACAACTAATAAGACCGTCAACGGCAATCTCATCAATCCATCAATCAACGGGAGCATGAATTGAATTGACAAGCTTATTCAGCAGACACTCGATTGAGTTGATTGAGTTGACGGTTGCTCAACTATATTGAGCAACCGTTGCTGGGATTGAGTGGTTTGCCACCCTGGGTCTGCCGGTTTTTTGTATTCAATCTTGTTTGATTTGTGTGTGTGTTTTTAAGTTTGCCAGTTTTGAATTGTTTTTAAGTCCTCTATTTTACTTCATCCTCCGACACCGAAGCTTCTCTGCGCGACTACTCCGAAAAAAGAGGGGGGTAGCTGCTCGCAACCAATACAGACGCACTCTATGGCCCTGCCCTACCCATTACGGTGCAGCCAGACCAACGGAACCCGGCCCAGCGCTGGCACGCAAAGCAGCCCAATTTGGATCCTGGTATGAGCTGGGGCACAGGTTGCAATCGATCTCGTTGCCCATAGCCGGATCGTACATACAGCGGCCTGGTGGGTTCTGTCACGACCCTGGGCGCCAGCGTAGAGCCGCCAGCGCAGAACCTCACCAGTGTCACGTGCCCAAGCAGCATCACGTGCCCACGCGCGACCTCGTGTCTATATAAGGGCCCGCTCGGTCGTGTAGTCTAGTCTTCCTTTCTTGCTCCTTAGCTTTGAGTCTTTGTTCATAGTGCCAATACATCTTTATAGCCGTCAAGGCTCGTATGTGCCTGGCCGTAACACTACTCAAAGCTCAATAAGATCGCTTGCCAGCGATTAAGCAAATAGGCACCGAGCTTTCACGTCACACGCGCCTGACGTAAATCCAGCGCATCCGTTCTGACCGTTCCGACCAAGACTCCGACCACCGACCAAGTGATCCTCAAGGCTGAGATCACGTCCGTTCCGACCAAGACTACGCGTGTGTGTAGTCGTCCGACCAACCGTTCCGACCAAGGGATTCGTCCCGTCTGACCTCCGACCGTCCCTGCTCGTGCAGGCATCTGACCGTGATTCCGCGTGGTATCATTTCCGACCCTAGACTCTGACCTCGAGACTATGATATCTGAGGAAGCCCTGCCATCGGATCAGCCTCGCCGTTCCACCCGGCTTGCTGGCCAAGCCACTGAATCCGAAATAGTAGCCATGGCTGCCCCGAACCCCCAAGACGCTCTCATCCGCGAGATGAGAGAACAGATTGCGGCCTTAACGGCCCGTCTAAATGAACGCTCTCCGTCTGTTGAATCAAATCGACAGCACCGGGAGCCCTCGACTGCTTTGCCGGCCCAAATGGCCCGGCCTTCCGACCAACAGGCAAAGCTGCCTGGCCTATTTTGCCCCCTTCCCAGAGGGCAAGAACCCCGAGTACAGCGACGCCGCCAAATCGCGCATCAAGGTCTCCGCGACGTTCTCAGGAAGAAGGACGAGTTCCATTCCTTCATCCTGAGCATAAAGAACAAATTTGACGAAGACGTGCGAACCTTCCGGACTGAGAACAGCCGGATGGTCTGTCTGTATAACCTGCTCGAGGAAAAGCCCGCCGAGCACTTGAAACCCGCTTCTCCTCTGACACTCGACCCTTCTCTGGAGTGGCAGAGATGATCCAAGCCCTTGAGTCCGCCTATGGCAATCCGAATGAGCTTTCCGAGGCTCTTGACCGCCTGCAACGCCTCCAGTTTACCGTGAATGGGAAGACCGACATTGTGGACTTTCTTGCGGAATTTGACTACTTAACTGCGACCGGTCGTGTGCCCGAGGACCAGATGAAGCATACCCTGTGGCAGCACATCCCGGCCAACCTAGATAACAGCCTCTTGACCAAGACCCGCGACGAGTCCGTGACCTACGAGGTTTTCTGTGGGTTCATTAAAGACGCTGTCCACTGCCAGAAGAGGAGTATGAGGCAGACACAGGACTCCCGCTCTTCCGACCGATCTCGCCGCGCGCCGACTAAGACTGCTCCGACTACCGCCAAGACTCCGAACAAGACCGGCTCGACCCTATCACCTCGCGTGATGCTGGCAGAGCCTTGACCGACGATGAGAAAAGGGTCCATTGGGATAATGGCACCTGCTTTATTTGTGGAAAAACAGGGCACCTCTCTCGCGAGTGTCCCGACCGCACCCATGCTGTCTCCCGTGTCGCCTCCGTCCCTGTCCCTGCCAACGACTCTGATCAAGATTCGAAACGAATAGGACCATCACAAGACTCCTTGATGGTCCCTAAGGTGTCACAGACAGCGAGTAGGTCTAGCAAGTCATTCACTCTGCCAAGTCAAGTCCAAGTGGATGGTGTGAGCCTACCTGCCCGCTCCCTCTGTGATACCGGAGCCGAAACCCGTTTGCTGGTTAGCCCAACCTTCGCCCAGTCCGCCGCCCAAAGACTCGGAGCCCAGATTAAGGAGCTCCCGAGTCGGATTCCCCCAAGACTTCCGTGGAAAGCCAGCCGGCTATATCCAGAAACAGCTGGTCGCCACTTTCGTCATCGATGGCCGTTCGTTCGCAAACGAGACATTTGATATAGCTGAGTGTGGCCATGATATCTTTATCGGTCTTTTCTGGATGCGGGAGAAGCGCCTCCTGCTTGACTGCGCCGCCCGACAGATCATCTGGCCAGATGATCTTCCTGCCCTCGCCAAGTTCTCCCCGACGATCCAGCTCTCGTCAAGCCCCGCTCGGGTAGGATCGACCCTAAGATCCAGGCCGACGCTGAGAGGCGGAACCGCCTGCTCGAGAAAGAGGAGAAACGCTACCGGATCCTCCACAAGAACTGGGGCCGCTCTGATCAAACTCCTCCGGCCTCTGTCCCGACCCGTTACCGACTCCGTCTCCGTCGTTTCAGTCCAAGTCTCCGTCTGCCAAGAAGTCTGTCCGTTTTCAGCTCACGACCGCCCCTGCTACCGACTTCGTCTCCGTCGCCTCGATCCAAGCCTCCGAAGATCAAGCCCTGATTAACGCCCTGGTCTGCCAAGTAGAGTCTCACGAGAGATTCGAACAGTGGAACGAACTCGAACCGTTGATGCCCGGGATCCAGTCCAGCTCGAGCCAAGCTCCGGCCTTGACCAGACCGTCCCTAGTGCTCGAACCGTTGCTAAAGTCTCCCGGATCAAAAGACCTACCA